AATGCGAAACGAGATTTCATTTTCTTCCTTTACCTCGTCCCTCATCTATCTTTTATACGCGATAACGTACGCACTCACGGAGTGTTAAAATGTGGATCAACGGGATCCACCCTAGTATCATTCTCTTTCCTCTCGGAGAAATGAAATTTCATTTTTCCGAGATCACGTCGTGTCATCTTCATCGGTCAAAATGATGGCAAGTTTGGATAAACAAAAGAAGGAAAAAAAAGAAAATTTTAATCATTTGTTCCGTTCCTTCCTTATCGCAATTTTTCAATTCATCTTCTAACTTACTCGAAATATTTGTGTATATATATTAATTTGCTAAAAAAACAATTTTTTTTCTTTTTTTTTTCTTTTTGCATTGTTATATACAATAAAATTAAAAATTCGTAAAGAAATAATTTTGAATTAATTATCTAACATCTATCTATCCTATTAATCGTTATGTAAATAATTACTTCTTGTGGTCTAATTTTTTGTTTTGTTATATCTATTTCTTATTCCATTTTTTTTACTTACTTACGTATTGTAATACCTATGTAGTCTCGTTATTACTTACACGTAAATCTTATCGAGAAATCGTTTCATTATAGAACTATTCAAGTTTTCTCCACCAGCGAGGAGTGTTACACGAACACAGTGATCTATATGCGACGAATAAGTTCGGAAATGACGTATCGCCTTTCGATCCGAAGTTAGATACGCCGGAAAGCGTGAGCTTGGCCGCGAACATATTCCGCGTGGGTGAAAACGAACGATTGCAATAGGTAGCAGCTCCTTTTCCTATACCAAGATGTAATATAATTCGAGTAACTTTGTGTCCGATGTTTTACTTGCATAGATATATAACTGGAATATTATGCTATTAGATGTAGTTAATTGTGTTTTGTATTTTATTGTATTTATTTATATTTTCTTCATCGCCACAAAAAAACATTAAATTTGATCGAAATGTCATTGTTTCCCTTTATTATTTTACGTAAAATTATCGATTCATTTTAACTTTTCACTTTCAAAAATAGGTAATAAACACGCGAATAAATTTTTCGAGTGAAATAATGAATTTCTTTTTTCTTTATTATTTTTTTTTCTTTATTTTTTTTTTTTTTTTTTATTATTATCTTCTTCTTTTTTCACCCCCATTTCAATGCTCCCATTTCAATCGATAAAAATTATCGAGTATAGATACCCCGAGGAAGAAGAAAAAAAATATAGGTAACAATGCGTTGTTTTCATGTTTTCTAATAAAAAAGAAAAATCCATTCGTTATCCTACAGAAACAACACCCTTCGGTCATATGTAGTACATATTTTCTGCACAAAAAATATATCTTGTTTGTTAGACATAAAATCAAGTGACATAAAGAGCCTAAAGAGATTATTACGCGTCAGAGAGCTTGTTTGCCGATATCATCGAATTCCATTGGGAAATTGTGAAATTCGAAGATAAACAAAAACAAAAAAAATATTCGGAGTATCTCTCTCTCTCTCTTTCTCTCTCTCCCTCTTTCTTTCTTTCTCTCTCTTACTTTCATTCTGTCTCTCTCTAAATTCTAACGTTTCAAACTTATTTGCTACTCTAGTGTCTCCACTTTTAACAGAAGCTCATCGATCTTTGTCAAGATAACACGAAGCATGCCAATGTAGACTAATATTTATATATATATATGCGTGTGTGTATATATACACACGACCTTTTGAACAAATTTTGTAGAAATAATCGAATTTCAATATTTTCCTGTCTAACTCTTCGAAAATTGTACTCTACAAAAGTACGACAGTATTTTTTAATCATAAAAAAGCAAATTATAGATCGTTTTTATAAGAAGAAAAAGAATTACTTCAAATGATTCTCATTTATGATTATTTTAACAAACAATCCATAAGATCATTCAATCATTTTCTGTTTCTATCTCCGATTATTTATATCGCTAATAATTCTGATTACGCACGTGAAAATAAATGAAAAAATTAGTGAAAAATTGTGAAAAAGGTCGTGGGTGCATTTCAACATAGACGTCGTCTGACTCAACAACGATTAATCTACTGCTATGTTGGATCTGCACGTATAAAGAATCGATCGATCAAACGCCTTTTATGAATCGTATACGTCAATATTAATCAGCATTTTAATAGAACGTCGTCTTTTATAAAGTGTCAATCGAGTTTATGGATTGTATCTTACAATCCACGTTCACATCGACATTCTAATAAGAAATATCTGTGGAATTTTTAAATCCGCTATTTTTTAATTTTTAAAAAAATTTAGGAAAAATATGTCTTTTTATTAATAAAAATTTCATATATCATAAAAGAAAACAGATTATTTCTAAAAAGATAATCGCCCCATATTGTGAATAGTTCTAGCTCCTTTAAATCACACGTTTCAAACTGTGTTACCAGCAATTTCATGTATGAGGTTAACCCTTTCCGTTCCTATAGCGGTGAAAATAAATTTCCGGTGGTGAAGCACGCTGTTATCTTCGGGTTACACTCAACTTAATGTTCACTCAATAATGACTTAGCATTTTCTCTCTTGGGATATAATTCGAAGGTTTCTAATAGTTTCAATAAATCATTTTCGACAATCTAGAAAATAAATTTTTCTACGTATAAATATATATCTATATGTGTGTAAGATAATTGTTTGTTAATTATTTTATAAGAGAATGAATTCGGATAATCGTTCTAAAAAAATTTATTTTTATAGAAACACGATTTAATAATTGGAAAGAAATAAATTAGTAAATATATCATAAATTTTACTATGTGCATATACTTTATATATACACATACATATATATATATATATATATATATATATATGTGTGTGTGTGTGTGTGTGTGTGTGTGTGTGTGTGTGTGTGTGTGTGTGTGTGTGTGTGTGTGTGTGTGCGTGTTACTAATTGAAATATTAATAATTTCAAACATAATCTGATTTCATTCGAAAATGTAATAATTTCGAAAAGTAACTACGAATGTTTTTCATGAAATAAAATTTTCAAATAGAATGTTTCAAAAGTATTTTTTATATAGCAGGATAACGATGTCAAAGATTACAATGAAAAGAAAGGATCTGAAATAAAGTTGAAAAACGAAATGAAAATCTGCGAAATAATCCTAACTGTGGATAAGGTTGATATAATAATCGATTCGAGAGTTAATTTCCATAATCCACGAGAGAATCCCAAAGCTAAGAGTTTAATCGACGCATAACCACTTTCCATTGCTCTAGAAAAAATCTCATAAGAAGAGTTGGATTTGCACAGAAAACGAATTTCATTTAATTATCAACTCATCGAAATAATCAATAACGATACGTTTGAATTCGTTGAATACGTTCTATATGTATATTAGAAATTTGTGTATGTGTTTGTGTACATGCTATATATTTACATACATGAATTTTTTTCTCGATTATTTCTATCCCGAAAAAGTTAAATGATTATTTTTTGAATTATTTATATTGAAATATTTTTTTTTACTTGCTTCTTTTTCAATTTTATTCATTAAACAAATTTTGATTAATTCTCGAAAAATACAGAAATTATGAAACATCCTAGCTCGTATTTGTAATAATATATAAATCTATTAAAACTTATTGACTTATGAGTTATGACTTCGTTTTAATGATGATTCTACGATTTTCTTATCTTCTTGTAATATGCGAGATTGTTGCATCAATTTTCCATTTTATTTCACTTAAGACCTCCAGCGAAGCTTGTCAGTTCATTTCGAAATTTCATCGGCGACGTATCTTGGTCTGAATAAATAATAATATTCAATCATATTTGTAAATATTATATATATTACATATATTATATATGAACATATATAAATACATATATACCTATATATATATATATATATCTATGTAGGTACATAGATATGTAGGTACACACATAGATGAATCATATAGTTGAATATTTAAAAAAGTTTTTTGATATATTCACGTGTAAGTAAATCAAATAAATATTATCTGAATTATAAGAGAAAACTGAACAAGAGAAATCTCGATCGATGTGTCATCCAATATCAATTTATCAGTTTATTCGGTTGTAAAATTCTTTAACATACTGTGGGAGATATCGTTAACGTTATCTTAACATGTGATGATTTATATACATATATATCGATATATTTACATACATACATTCATATGTGGAGTTCAAAAAGTAATTATTTAAATTAGATTATAAATAGATTCCAAAGTTATTGGTATGAAACATCTCGATCAAGAAGAAAAAAGAAATAAATAAATAAGGAAGATAAAACGAAAAGAGAATAAATTCACGTTAATACGTGTTATGTTTCATTAACTTCGACCTCGGGATAAATCTCTTTCCTTAATAATAAATTATCGATTATCCGATAATATCAGTCATAAAATAAAATGTGATGATTCCGATGATTCTTAAGAAACTAAAAATTTCTTTATTTCTTTTTATTATAAGCACGATACTTTTGTAACATTCGCTTTTAAATTACCTCCTTAGAAAATGTAATTTTGTTTTGATCGAAAAAATTAAAAGCGAAAACGAGAAAGAATGAGAAAGATAGATAGAGAGAGAGAGAGAGAGAGGGAGAGAGAAAAAGAATTAAAAAAAATTTTTAATAAAAGAAGGAAAAAACAAGCTTTGCATTACCATTATTTATTTGATATCTTCGTCCAGCAGTCTGCCATTTAATTTTGAAATCTTTCTCTGTTAATCACTCTCTCCGTACTAATTACTAATTACAATTACAAACAAAAAGCAGATCTTAAATAACAGAGTAACTGTATAACAATTAAACGAATTATCATCATTATTCTTATACTATCAGTTAAATGATTGAGACATCTGAAAAGGAGGGTAACGTTGAAAAAAAAATAGTAAAAAAACAAAATGAGAAGGAAACAGATAGAAATAAAAAATAAACAAGTAAATAAATAAATAAATAAATAAATAGATAATCTTTTTGTATATCTCTAACAACTTATTTTTTTTTATTTTCCAGATCAACGGAGATCGATTCAGTGATTGCATAAGGATGATTTTAATCACTATCTTAGTAACATCAGCAATGATCACTATGACGCGTTCTGCACCGGCTGTACATCTTCCAAAGGAAACTGGGAATTTTCCGGAAGTGCTATGGCTCGTTAATCAGCGAATGCCAGAATTAGAGGTAAGAAGAAATATTGTTAGATAATAATTTTATTAATAAATCAAATCTTGATATTAGGAATTTTTATTAAAAATATTCGTAATACTGACTTATCAATATTTATTATAAAAATAATTTTATAATATTAATATATAATTTTTATTAATATAATAATATTGTAATTAAATTTTTTAAAATATTCGAAATATTAGCTTATCAGAGATGAAAATAATTGAATATAAAATATATATATATATATATATATATATATATATATATATATAATACAATTATTCTCATAATATAATTTATATAAATAGTATTTATATAAAAAAAAAATGATAAGAAGTATCGAACAAAAATCGAGCTTTTCGATTCTAATATTAAATAATAGCCTCCCACTTGGTGAACATAGATAATGAAAAGTCGATTCGTATATATACATATATATATATATATATATATATACATACACACATACATTTTATATATAGATTTCTATATTCACTTTGGCGAAACACGATCTATGTGAGTTTATATCGCGAATTGTTAACAGACGACCAATCGACAAGCAAACTTGTGTTTTTCTATTTCTCTCTCTCTCTCTCTCCCTCTCTTTTATTTGCATACATATATTGCATCAGTTTTGCACATAATGGCTTCCTTTGTGAACAGTACATATAAAGCAAAGACTGATACGTGTCTTTTATCTCGGTATTGGTAGAATTTAATTCAAGTTGTATAAATTTTTCTTCAAAATTACATCTCGATTAAAAAAAAAAAAGAAAAAAAGAAAAGAAAAAAAGAAAAAAGAAAAGAAAAAAAGCAAAAACATCGACGAAATTATTTACAACGAATTCGAAAAATTCGATAACGCGATGAAAAATATTGTTTCATTGTTTCATCGTTTACTTCTTATAATATAAAATAAAATATCGAGATATGACAATTATTTATTTCAATCGTTCTATTAACAAAATGGCGACGTACCAACGGTTAAAATGCACGAACTGACATTTCGAAATTTCACGTAATGAGAGTTTTCTATCGTGTTATTCGCCCTCCAACAATCTTTCTCCGTGCGTCACGAGGAGAATAAAAAAAGAAAGAAAAATCATGTAAAACGCGAATAAAATTTAAAACTCGGCTGGCTTTCAAAGGATCCACGTATTTTCTTCGAAATTACTACGTTCAATGACATTTTTTACCGCGTTTCGTATACTCTACGACGTAAAAAATATATATACATAAAATATGTAAAAAGAGGACAAGAAGGAAAATAAAAAAATAATTAAAATACATAACATACAATTGTCTTCGCTAATTCGCTTCATGATTTAATAACTTGAAAGATCCCTCGTATTGTATTACCCTCATTTTCTTAAAAATATAGATTCAATTGGTTCAATAAGAATTTGAATAGTCATCGACGAACAAAAGCGTAAAAGTAATCCCGAAAAATCCTTGGATACAAATTGAATCCTTTGCGGTAGAAATCGGACAGATATATAAAGGAACAAAGTTGTCCTCTTTTGGTCGAATTTTCTTACGGAAAAAAAGAAAAAAAAAAGAAAGAATGAATGAAAGAAAGAGAAGGATAAAGATAAATTGAGGAAGATAGAAATAGAAAGAAAGATGTGTTGGTATAGAAGAGAGAACTTCTTAATCGGTAACTCGAGAAAATTTTTCTTCCCATTGTTTTTTTTTTTCTTTTACTATTCTTTTTTTTTTCTTTTTTTTGGACGAATCAAAATAAAGTAAAGCTCGTAAAAGGTATGAGAAAGAATGATAACGAAAGGACGAACAATATCCTCGCAATATGAAAAGGTTCCTCTTCAAATGAGAAAGGTCTCATAAAGGTGAAGAGCCATTATCATAATTGAATAAAAAAAAAGAATAAAGAAAGAAAAAACAGAATGTCGCAAAAAATGCGCGTGTATTTCAATTCGTCGAACTGATACTTATTGAATCACTTTGAATTTTTTATCGATATTATATCATTATTTATTTCGAATATGTTTACGTTTGTTGAACAGAGAGAGATGTATGAATCGAGCAACGATCCTGGCCCGACGATACTCAGGACGAAAAGGATCGGTTCTTTGTCGATCGTAAATAATTTCGATGTTCTCAGAGAGAGAATACTTTTGGAAATAGCTCGTAGAAAGGCTTTGCAAGATCAACGACAAATCGATGCTAACAGACAGATTCTCGATAGCATCGGCAAGAGATCGGTAACATCTTTCGAGGATTACACATCCTCGTCTCGTCCTCGAACTTCGGGAAAAATCTACGATTGGCTCAGCGAAAATGACTCCCTTCTTGGAAATCGTCATAGCAATCAAGATCGCAGGGTTTGTTACTTCTTCATATTTCTTACTAATCGTTTGCCTATCTCAATCTATCATCAATTTTTGTGTAATAATTGAAATATTAAGAAAAATGATCGCCAATTTAATCTCGAGCTCTTATTGTGAATCTTTGAAGTCGATAAACACCGTTCATCCATCGTACTATCGTATTAATGCATACATATTACGCATATATTATGAATACGTGTCTATACTATTTTATATATTTTCAAATCTATTTGATATTCTTTGTCTAAATAGTTGTAAAAGATATTTAAGAGACAATTTAATTTTTTTCAAAAAACTATTTTATTATACTAATAGACGCGATTTTTATTTTCACAGGTACCAAGCAACGAATTACTCTGGTTGTAACCATATGCGAACCAATCAAAGAAAAACTATTGAAATCCAGATTTGGCAGGCAACCTCTCGCTTTTCCAAGTTTTACGAGCCGCAAATTTTGTTCCCATATCATTACGAATTCTTCTTATAGAGCTTTTATCTGATCTATCAGTCTCGCGCGTTTCTCAGGTTCTAATAGGCAACTATAATATAGCGTGATGAATGATGAAAAATAAAAAAAAAATTAAAAAATTAAAAAGAAACAAAAAAAGGCAGAAAAAAGCGAATAATATAATGAACATAGTAATATCAGCGACATTTCAAGGTTACATTCACAAAGTCAATTTTCAAAGACGATTCAATTGCGATGTATATGAGTCGTCAAAACGAAACAGTATTATATTTTGTGATCTTTCTTTTATATTAATTATTTTATCGTTTCTATAATGTCTACGATAAACACTATATTGTTATTTTGTTTTGTTTTTTTTCTCCTCTTGACTAGACCAAAAAAAAAATATCGTTTCGTTGTTAAATAACTCAATTTGTTTCATATAATTTAGGTATTCGAACCATTGAAGAATTAAGACTTTTCATTTTCGTCATCACAATTATTCATCCCCTATAATACGATTAATCATTATTTATTTGTCTAACTATAATATTTTCTATTTATAATAGTTCCATAAAATATTTACGTTTGTATTAGACATTCTCTGTAGTAATCTCCGAAAATAGATTTTACTATTTTAAAAGTTTATGTCCGTTCTAGTTTTATTACGAAAGTAACTTAGTAAAATATGTAATTATACGTTTCCTATAATGGAAAACTTTAAAAAAGATATATATATATATATATATATATATATATATACACACATCTATATTTAAAAAAAAAATGTTATTATTAAATAGCAGCTCGAAGAGAGAGAAAAGAAAACAAGAAAAAAAAGAAGAAAAAAAAAAGATCAATAGAAACATTTGTTCTATATTAGATTATAGTAAGAAATATTTAACATTAGCAAAATGACGATAGAACAGCCTCATCGTGTAATTTAGTTCTAATTAATTAGAATTAGCAATAGTAATGTACCTTACGCCTCGGTGATACATCGAATGCTAGCCGATTATTATTATCATTATTCAGTCCTTTATAGCAGCGAATAACTTTCAGGAAAACTCGAAAACCAATACAAACAAAAAAAAAGGAAAAAACACAGATAATAAATAAATGTATGCACGTTAAATAGTTGACACTTGCTATTTAATATTTACCATTCGTGTTTTGTTTTTTATTATTTTTTATTGTTGGTTTCTTCTTTTCTTTTCTTTTGCGAGATTGTTTACTCGGAAATATTTTAATTATGAAAAAACATGTCTCTCTCTCTCTTTCTCTCTCTCTCTCTCTTTCGAATAAAGAAATTCTTTCATTAAGGCTAAAGTAAAAGTTTAAAATTCGCGCGTTATTAACACTTCCGGCAATGCCTGTACACATCGATGTTTAAAAATTAAGACTTACCTGTGCAATGTTACATCTCTTCTCGTCAACGACGATTTTAATCTGCATATTGTGTATCATGTTTGTATATTACATTGTACATTACACGCGAAAATGATACGGATGTATATGTATGTATATGTATATGTATATGTATATCTATATCTATATATATATATACATATCATACACATACGTACACATACATAGATTGCAATCTTTTCGACGAATCTTTCGATTAATTTAATGATAAATTCAGAATATCTTCGAAACTTCTTCCAATGATATAACTCAAATTTATTTATTATATTTTTAATGATAGTTTAAAAAAAAAAATATCGTCATATTTTATTTAAACAGATATGTATGTCTATCGATATGTTCCTAAAATATATCATTTCGTCGGTAGACCGAAAATAAAATTTAATATAAGTTCTACAATGTGTGATTTTAAACGTGATAATAAATTTTATTTAATGTACAACCACATGTCCTGAGATTATATTAATCCTCTCCTTGGATCCTTTCGGAAAGACAACACAATGCCAATATACCGTTCCTTACAAAAGTTTATTTTTTTTTCTTTTTTGTTCTTTTTGTTTTTTCTTTCTGTTTCTTTTTTCTTTCTTTTTTCTTTCTTTTTAATTATTATCGATGTTATTACAGTATTTAGTTATTGTTATTACACAGTTATTACACATAGTTCACTTACTTCAATCGTATAGTGAACAGTAGACTTTTGCCTTTCTCTCTAAATATAAACAGTTAAATCGCTTTATTCTGTACACGATATCATTGAAAATATGAGTAATGTACATCACATTTGTTCGTTACGAATATTTTAAAAGAAAATTTTTTTGAAAGACAATTATTTGAAATTAGAATTCGATTGATGTTCTCATTAATGATTTTTTTTCCCTTCTTTATAGACACACAACACCATATTAACAAATGGTATTCTTTCATAATAATTGCTTTTCAATAAAATTTTGATATAATTTAGTTTCATACATAATAATAATTTTATGTAAACGTTAAAAAAAGACATAGATATGAATAAGCGAAATACAGAGAGAAGGTAATACAAAAGTGTAACGAATTGACGAATTGGAGGAAAATATAATAAACTATGTTCATGATCACAGTTTACGAAGATCGAGAACAAATACACTGCCATCTGATGCCGAAGCACCAACCTTGTCACCTCTACTATTCCAACATACTTCGAAAATACCACCCGTACCTTTGTAACTGTGAACTAATAACCCACTCTGCGAAGTAAGTGATACATTAATTTCAAAATGTTAAAAGATAAATAAAAATAAAAGACAAATAAATTCATAATCACTTACCTGAGTAGACCAAATATGAACACATTTGTCAAAACTTCCGCTAGCAAGAAACTTGCCATCCGGACTAAACGCTACACTGTACACTGGTTCTGTATGTCTTGTGAGCGTATGTATACAAGCTCCTCTTTCTACATCCCACAATCTTACAGTTGAATCGAATGATGCACTGGCAAGTGTCAAGTTCATATTTGGATTGTGTGTCCCTGGACCAGTCGGAGACCATTTGATTGTATAAATTTCTTTACTGTGAGCTTGAAGATCGTGTACCCACGTATCCTGCTTCATAGACCATATCTTCAAACTCATGTCATCCGAACAACTAGCTAGTAGATTACCTTGAGGATCCCATTTTATTGCATTAACTTCGTTCTGAAAATGTCATTATAATATATCACCTGAAAAACTATGTAAAATGAAAATCTTACTGACATCAACATACCGTATGACCTTGGAAACTCTTTATGGGTTTATCTACATTCAGTTTGCATACATGAATACATTGATCTGTAGAGCAACTAGCAAATGAAGTGTTTGTTTGCCAATCGACGTCTAATGCAGGTGCACAATGAAAACTGAATTGCTGAGTACACTCGCCACTTTCGGCGTCCCAAATAATAGTTGTTTTATCAACACCTGCACTTAAAATATAATTGCCACATTTGTTCCACTTCAATGCGAAAATTGGACCTTTATGTTGACCCAAAGTAGTAGCCAATCTGCCTTCTGTTGTCCAAATGCGTGCATATCCATCGTAACTTCCAGTTGCCAGTAACGTACCATCGCACTAAAATAATCAAAATACAACTTTCTTTAATATTTTCACTGATTTATGATGTAAGTAGAATGAGTATGTATTGTATACCTTCCAATCTAACGAAGTAACATCTTTGTTACTAGGTACTTCCGCACCACCTTTTTGGATGCAATGGCGAAGAATCAATTGATTTGGAGCCTGAGAATTGTCTGACATATCCCAAATACGGGCGGTGCTGTCTCCAGAACCAGAGGCCAAAAGATCGGTAGTAGGATTCCAAGCGCATATAAAAACTTCAGACTCGTGTCCTCTTAATTTGGTTGCCTTACTAGCTGGTATTTCAACAGCACTAGCATTAGCACCCGTTCCAGTACCTTGCTGCTGTTCGTCCACTTCCATTTCATTTCTATCACCACCTCGATCACTTGTTCCTACGCCATTATTTGATGTCACCACTATAAATAGGTTCGAATAGATGTTCAACAATTTCATGAATCATTGAAATTCTTTTAATTAATAGAATAGGACATGTGTGTGCTCCTGCTATATAGATATTTTGTATAATTTGAAAATTAAATTTTACTAACTTAGTCTAAATCTCAAGAACATAAAAGTACCTTGTCTATGTAATAGACAAAAGTTCTTTTTCATTGAAAAATAGATTTTGTCAGCAAAATTCAATCAAAATATCTAATGAACTAAGCTGCCTATTAATCTACCTGATGATAATGAGGAGGTCTACAAAACTTCTATATTTTTGTAGACCAGGGTGTAATCAGGCATGGATACCATATATAGAAGTTTGAAGAAGTAAACGTAATGACCATACAACCTTCTTCTCTATTTGTATCTTGAACTTCCGTTTTTATCTGTTGTTTCTGTTGATTGATTTGATTTTGTCTAGATGCAACAACATCCGGCATAACCGCGTCGATGAGAGACAGAGACTCAACCATTCTTTGTTCTGTTCCATCTTCACCAATAGAAATTTCTGCTTCCGTATATTGTAATCCCTTTTGTAGAATAGATAGAAGTGCAGCTGGTGGTACTAAAGCTCCATTTATGTTACTCTGTGATATGTGCGATTCTATACCAAAAGTGTATGCTGAATGCACAAAACCTATAATATAAAAATAAATTCATATTGAATAACTTAATAACAAAAATATGTAGAATTTCCAATGCTAATATAAATTAATGCTAATACAAAAGGTTACAATATTTTCATCATACTGTAAATATATTTACAGTTCTTAAATGATAAATTTTTAAATAATATTCATTAAATAGAAAGAAAGAAAAATAAACTGTATATTTGTTCATTATGCCATACAAGAGGTTAACAAACGCTCTCATAATCGTACCGGATTCTTGAAGATAGCGGTAGACTAAAAAGTTGACTTCATCGCTAGAGAAGCTCATCGTTAAGGGCCTACACAGCACTAGCATAACACATTTACGTCAGGACACATTGAAAACTTTCGTTGTTTTACCTCCGACGCTAAAATTTGCCGCGTTGGGTTGTTACGAGAAAGATACACGAACACATTGCACGTAATCTGGAAGACGGTAAACCAATTGAACGTGAATACTAACATACTCATGAAACTTTTCCGAAATTTAAAACATTACAAATAGAATTTACGAGACATAAAAGTGATATTACAGTTATCAATTGACCAATTTTCTAACGACTATTTTTGATTTATTGGTTACTCGTTAAAATGAAAATATAAATATAACAAGTATCCTTCATCAATATTTTTAATAGTAAGTTTCCTTTCTTATACATTTTTATATCGAAGATCTGAAAATTAAATTGCTTTAATTTGATCTTTCTCCTGTCAGATGGCGAGCCTCGATGATGACATCGGATGTTCAGGATCGTATCTATAAAAGGGCATTGCTTCCGCTTACAGGGTACATCTATATCTTTGTCTCTAAAACGTTAAATTTTACATCGTCACCACATTGAAGCTATATAGAATAAAACAGTTGAAAGTGATAAAAAAAAAACTGCGTGTTTACATAAGTTAGACAACCCAATAACAACGGTATATTTTACTGAAAATCATAAGAAGTTATTAACGAAAAAGAAAAGTTATACAACGTTACAAAACTTAATTTAGTACATAAATGATTAGTCAAGTTAGAATATAAATTTTTTGGTCGGTAGACCAAAACGATCAAATATGACACGGAATAACAGGTTAGACTTTGTTTACATGATTCTTTAATGATATAACATAACCTTTCTTTGATAAGTATAATGTTTTTTTAATCTTGCAAAAATTCATTTTGTCTTATTACCATTTATTATCAATGTTATCGTTATTTAGAAAACGAGGACGTATTTTAGAGGAAGAATCTAGCGAGTTCATGCCACTAAGTAAAAGGATCAATAATCTTCATATCAATGGTTTATCTGGACTTCAAGAAAGTACAGCCGAAATGGAATCTGATTGGGGAGGCCCTAATTTTATTCCTTCTCCAAATTATTCAGAACCTTCTCAAAGCTCGCCATTACATGACACTTGTGGTTCTAGCCAAAGTAGTTACACTGCTGATTACAGGCCTGATCTTGATGCAACAGAAAATCCATTTTACTATGAAAGCAATAAATTATTGTTTTCTTTGTACATGGAACGTATGCAAAGATCAGATATGTATTAATAATGGCTTAACTTTGCATATTTTAAAGGTATTTTTTATTTACAACTTAATCATTCCTTTGGATAACTTTATAAAGCCATCAAGTTTGTCAGTCTTAGGTATTAATCTTTGCAATTTGAAATTAGTTCAGTTACATTACATTTCTAATATCAGTATCTTTTATTATATAATGTCTATATCGCAGATTAATTATAATACATTAAAATTAATTTCCTAATTTTCCATGATAATTTATCTCATCGCAAGATCAAATGTTTTATATAATATTTATTTCTTTATTACCAAACACTATGCATGTCTAAAGTATATTAAATTAATGAAAAGTTCAAATGCCTTATGTGATTTATTGTAATTGTGTTTATATTTCTATTGTTTGTATACATTGATAATTTGTGCGAGAAATATTTGGTTATTATTAAATTTTTACAGATTGTGGTTTACAAAGGAGAGAAATAATACAAATAAAATAAGATACGATTGAGTCAGGTTTATTTGTTATTTTTCTTTATTTTTTCCAACAATTAAATTATAAGCTTACTTAGAAAGATTTATTACGTTTAATATGTGTAATTATTCATGAATGATAAATGCTCTGTAACATAAAGAAAAAATAGACAACGATCTTATATATATACTCGAATTCGTAATTTAGATAATATGAATTAATTGTTAATAATGTTCCAATCCACATTTTCAATTTCAAATTTCCCGCTATTAAACGAATAATTGTAAATCAACCTTAACATTAGCTGATACACGAGTCCGACGTGAACGCACTCTGATGAGACAATAAGAACGAACGACATAACCTTTCGACCAAACGTTGATACAACATTGAGAGGGAAGGAGACGCACGCGCACGCTCAGTGTAACATTTATTTCTCAATATCGCATGGCCACCCATATTGAGATAGTAAAACGGTTAGTCGATCTTTCATCGTGTCTTTTATCATAAACGATATATAATTTGTGAAAAAAAAAAGAAACGATAGCCTTGCGACGATTAGGATAAAAATCGTTATAACGTTTTAGTAATTCAGAAGGAATCGACGAAGCCACACGACTAGAACGCGCGTAGCTATTTCTTTTCTCTCTTTTCACACTTTCGCACGATATATAGATATATGTGTGTGTGTGTGTGTGTGCTTGTACGTGAGGGCGCGCGTAACCTACCGCCATAGTAAATCATATCCCTTGATGGAATGATAAACGAAGGCGCGCGCGCGCGCGCGCGCGACACACGTTTTACCGCCTATCGGACCAATAATTGTTCGAAACAGAATAAAAACACGTATAAAGTAGGAAAATAGAATAAATTGAAAAAGAGAGAATGTATTAGAGAAATAAACGTCAAGAGAAAGTCGAATGAATTAGAAAGAAATAGACATAAAGCAAACAGAAACAGAGAGAGAGAGAGAGAGAAAGGATGTATTAAAAGAAAGTATAAAAAAAAAAAAAAAAAAAAAAAAAAAAGAAAGAATAAAATTCGTTATATCGAAGAAACGGATCGACCGTCGGAACTAACCCACAAAACTGATCTCCGAGACGCTCGAGGGGGCGCGCGCGCACATTCGTCATATCTCACGCGCGTACGTTGGGAAGTCGTAACGAGTCCTGTCCCGTTCGTTTTAATAATTAATTAATGAATTAATTATTTCATTGACTAATTTATTAGTCAATTGGGCCCGATTGAAATAACAGTGTTTAAGGTGGAGAGAGAGAAAAAAAAAGAAATATAAGATAAAAGAAAATATACGAGACAAGTATAAAGTGGGGAAAAAATAAGAAAAGGAAATTGAACGAAGTACAAGAGATAGACAGGAAGAGCAGAAGAAAAACGAAGTTCTTGCGATCGGATTGGCGCGGAGCGAGGCGACACGACGCATCACACGCCGAGTAAGTCGAACGCGCATGTTGTGTTGCCCACTCGTCGAGCGGCCATGTACCGTTAACTCGAATTCATTTCACCAGAGTTGGACGGAAAAGCAAGTCCCGCTTCTTACCTACCAACCGATCGGGAGAGAGTCGATCGTGCACGATCGGGCACAACTCGTTGTAAAAGCCGGAAACTTGCGTGCGTGTAATTCGTGTTCACCTAACCAAGTTTCACTCGGGACGTGGCTTATGCTCCCGATAGAAACGACGATACGAATCGAAAAGTATTAATCTCCTTTCTCACTCTCTCTCTCCTCTCTCTGTGTCTTTCTCTCTCTCTCTCTCTCTCTCTTTCCCTGTGTGTGTAATTGTGTCGTGCTATCATCCTCGTTCTGAACTCTGTTTTTTGGTTTCTTTCGTTCGTTCTCGCTCGCTCGCTCGCTCTCTCACTCTTTCTCTTTCTCTTTCTTTCTTTTTCTTATTCGCGCAAATTTTATCCGAGAAGTCGCACAAAGTCTCAAATCGAGTCAAGTCGAGTCGTTTGTTCGGACGCGCGTTTCGTATGACGTGTGCACAGTGAATAGCAGCACCAGCACCACCACTAGCATTGGAAACAGCAGGAGCAGCAGCAGCAGCAGCAGCAACGGTGGCGACGACGGTGGTGGTGGCGGTAGTAGTAGTAGTGTAGTAATAGTAACAGAGCGACGACAACGACAAACGACGCTACTAGGTACGACGGGCAACCAAGAGCGAGCGTAGAAATGAGAAAGTCCACGTCGCTGTCGCGTTTTACGCGCTGAGGAGATCGAGAACACAAGAAGCAAGAAAAGAACAGAACAGAACAGAATAGAACGGCTAAGAGGCGCGTACGTGCGACGAACGAACGGACGGACGGACGGACGAACGGACGTACGTACGGTCGGTCGGTCGGTCGGTCGGTCGGTCGGTCGGTCGGTCGGTCGCTAGCAGGCTGGCTGGTTTGCTTGCTTGCTTGCTTGCTTGTTTGCTTGCTTACTTATTCGCTCAGACAATCTTGAGAAACTTGTGCCGGAACACAGGGACATTTGATCGTTGTCCATTGAACGGTGAAGTTTAAGGAAGAAAGACGGCGGAGTCGTTGAGAAGAAAAGAAGAATCCGCCAAGGAGGCGCGCGCGCTCTCTTTCTCTGATATTCCTTTGGGTAAGTAGTATTTAAGTAAAACAAGAAATACTGGAAGGAAAAAAGAAACTCGCAGGGTTGTAATTTCTTCTCTTGTCGATCGAGCGTCCCATGGCGTCTCTCTTCGTCTCTCTTTTGCACTTTCTTTTTCTTACTCTCTCTCTCTTTCTCTTTCTCTTTCTCTCACATACACGCACACATACATTCGTTATACACTCACTCAATCACTAGTGCTTGCTTTCTCACTCGTTAACTCCCTTCATTCACGACGCTCACGGTCCTTTTGCCACGTTCTTCGATGATCCACGGTGTAAGAAACGTTAAAAGAGAAAAAGAAAGAGAAGGAGAGAGGCGTGCCACAGTTTAAGAGAGAAACCGCGAAACGGTGGCCCACGGAGAGCACCCACCCCAAGACACTAAAATCGTCGCGGGGCCCTCGTCGTGGCTGACGGCTTGGCTCGGGCAGGCTTTGGTGGGGTTGGTCGGAGGTGCGGACAGTGGTTGAGAGGCTGGTGGGGTTGGAAATTGCGTGGTGGTGGGTGCCCGCCGAGGTCTCGGAGGCCCCTCCGTGGCATCTCGCTGCCTCTAACCCAACGAGGTGGGGGTGTAAACAACAGCCCTGCCCGTGCTCCTCTCCGTTGGCATAGTCCTGGCTGCTTCGTGCCTGCCTGCCCTGCCTTGCCATGCCATGCCATGCCCTGCCCTGCCCTGCCCTGCCCTGCCCTGCCCTGTCCTGTCTTGCCTTTCCTTGCTTGCCTTGTCTCGTCTTTCCTTTACTTTCCTTAGCTTACCATATCTTCTTTTACTTTGCCTTTACCTGCTTGCCTACATGCTTCGCTTACTTGCTTATTTGTCTGCTTGCTTGCCTTGTCTCGCCTTACCTATCCATACGCTTCGCTTTATTGTTCTTGCATATTTTTCTTTATTTTTTATATACAAATACACAGTTATATATATATATATATTATATTGTTTTTCGTATGTATATATACTAGATGGTTCCGTTCCTTGAACTATTCTTCTCGACAAAGCATCTTCCTATTTCCTCCCTCTCTCTATCTCCCTCTCCCTCTCTACCTCGTAGAGCGCATTCCACTCCGATCGCGAAAGAACGACACGGAAAAGGGAGCGAGAGAGAGGAAGAAGAGGAGAGGAAGAGACGATGGAGGTGGTGGACACCCGCGTACCGTCGCGGGAGAAGCCAGCCATGTTCGAGAAAGAGGAGAGGAACATAGTTAGCGAAAGAGAGAGAGAGAGAGAGAGAGAGAGAGAGAGAGAGAGAGAGAGAGAGAGAGAAACAGCAATTGCATTCGTCGAGAGAAAATAAAAGCCGTCGGCTACGTCGCCGCGTAGAAGGCAGTATCCTCCGTGTCATGGCGGCTGAGAGCAACCATTTCAACGCGTTCGATTTCCGTCGTCTTTTCGACCGTCCGATTGGTTTTCCCGTGCGAGTTTGTGCCACGTCACACAATTCGCTCATCTCCGGCCACGTCATCATTACTAAGAGATTATTACACGTCGTTCGTTTACCAACGAAACATTCTCCCATTTCCGCTTTTACTTTTTGATCATTTCCAAGGACCAAAACCAGACATGTATAAACGTGTCCAATTTAATATTAAACGCATTATCGTAATATGGATCGTTTCGTTGTGGTTGTAATAATGGCAGTAGGAATAGTAGTAGTAGTAGTAGTAGTAATAATAATAGTAGAACGACGACAAACGAATCGGAGGAAGCCATGCTGCAACAACGGTATGCCGCGGCGCCGTTCCATCCGCCGAACGTCGTCCCGACTTGGGCCGAGCGGATCTACGATACTATGTACGCGTTCGGAATCGTTACGTAAGAGATGGAGAAAAGAGATAATCTTTCGTCGAATAGAGAGAAATATATGTATATACATACATAGAGAGAGAGAGAGAGAGAGAGAGAGAGAGAGAGAGAGAGAGAGAGAGAGAGAGAGAGAGAGAGAGAGAGAGAGAGAGAGAGAGAGAAACAATTTAGAAATAAAGAAACGAGAAATTTATTAGTATACGAATGTATTCGTAGTTATCGGATTTAATTCACGTATAGTCTACTCTCGCGACAGGTATCATTGCTCGTGCGTACATATGTGCGCGCGCGCGTTCTTTGCGAAAGCAAGCAAGAGAGAGAGAGAGAGAGAGGCAGGCGCAGCGAGCCTTAAGAGAATCGACGCCATTACGACATGCGCGTCTTGCAAAGGAGACCGACGGCCTCGGCCGAGCGGTCAGTCGCACTCGCCGTTTCGCCGACGACGAAAAAGCCAAACGTCCGGCCGAAAAGGGACGCGTCAACGCGTGAATGTCGAGAAAAAGAGAGAGAGAGAGAAAGGAAGAAAGAAGGAAGGAAAGAGAGAGAAAAGGAGAAAAACAAACTTTTCTTTCCTATTATACTTGTCGGTATTCGCGTGTTTTGTTCGCCGTTGTGTGGCTATTGAAGGATTCGCGAGGGAATAACGACGAGGACGTGCGTGCGATTCGCGTCCGATCCGCGTCCGTCGGTTATAGGCCGCTCGATGCGCGACACCCTTCTTCTGCGGTGGACAGCGACGGTAAAGGCGGTACGACGGGTAACAACCTAACCTCTCTCTCTCTCTCTCTCTCTCTCTCTCTCTCTCTCTCTCTCTCTCTCTCTCTCTCTCTCTCTCTCTCTCTCTCTCTCTCTCTCTCCTCTATGTTTCTCTCCCTCTTGCCATTTCTGCTCTGTCTGTCTGCCTGCTTTCCTTCCTTCCTTCCTTCCTTCTGTCCTTCCCTCCGAGTACGTTTCGAAACAAGGGCAAACGTCGCCGTCGTGTCCCACTTCGTCTACCACGGTGTCTACTACTCTGCTCCCTCTCCCTGTTCTCTCTCTCTCTTTCCTCTCTCCCGATATTTCGCGTTCCCCTCCCCTGGGAGTTTCCGGTAGTGTCGTGGCTTGTCTCCCTTCTTTCTTGGCGCGTGCCCCTACCCCTTCCTGAGCTTTCCGACTCTCTCTCTCTCTCTCTCTTTCTCTCTCTCTAGCATGTCTCTCCTCTCTGGCACACGTATCTTTCTTTCTCTCGTCGTACTCTCTCGCACAGTACGTGTTACTACTTTACGTGTGGTGTGGAGTAGGTGCTAGAAGGGAGAGAAAGAAGAGAGAGGGATAGTGGTAAAGCGAGAGGGAGTGAGAAAGGGAGAGAGAGAACAAGGAGAAAGAAAGAGATGATAACGGGTAGGAAGGAGGAAGATCGGTGGTGGAGGCTGTGAGAAGGGAGGGAGCGAAAGATCGGGGCTCTATTTCGCGGTGGGATCCCGCTTTCCCACCTATGCCTTCCCCCCTACCCTCTTTCTGCTCCTACCCCTTACCCCGTGATTGCAATGCTTGGTGGAGTGGGGTGTAATCCTGGGCCACTTCGGCGACCATCCTCCCTGCTCCCAGATCCCTTTTGTGGTGGGGAGGGGGTGAAGTGGGGGTTTCCCTCACCCCATCCCCACCAACCGAACGCTCTACTGCCGGTGGCACTGCCACCTCCGCGTGAGAGAAGACGAGTTGCCTTTTGACTCTTTGGCGCTTACGCGATCTGTAACACACACTTTTGAAAGATGTAGTCGACAAAAATAGAAAGAGAGAGAGAGAGAGAGAGAGAAAATTAGTTTGATGCGCTCTGGGTGGTCGTAAGAAGAGAAAGGGTTTATATTCGAGCATTGACTCAGACATAAATGTGTAAGGGCCGTAAGAAAGGAGGAATTGTTGATTCATTTACATATATAGCAACCTTGGTCTTCAAATCTTAAAAGAATGGGAACGCGTACTAAAAGAAAGAAAAGGAATAAAAATCGAGAATAACCGATGCGAATTTGCAAACAACATGAATTGTAAAGAGGATTTTTTAGAGATATGAAAATAATTGTAGAGTTTTACAAGAAGCGGGAATCTTTCGGGAAAAGATGATCTAATTAAAATCGGAAAAGAATCCCGATTAATCAATATAAATTTTATATTTTATCAAAATATCGTAAATCACACGTTAGGAATATTAACATAGAATAGGAAATAAAAATGATTAATTATCGTTAAAATAAAAATGATAAAATTATTGTTTACTAATATATGTATCGATCCTTTTTTTTTTCAGGCGTAAGATCGATAAAAGATGAATTTCACGCCTTTTCCTGGCTTTACTACAGGCTCGTTGCCGACAGGCACGGTTCATCAATTCGCGACAGCCAAATTCGCACAAAATTTGACTACTGGTGGTCAGGTCGTCGGTGTTTTATCAGGTGGAGAGGGTGGTGTTCATTACTTGAGACCAGTTGATCCTAACGGTTTTGCTGTGGCTCAAGGAGGCAATAATCAACAGCAGCAAATAATTACGCTGCCTATAACCGTACCTGGAAAAGATGGCACGCAACAACAACAAACTGTCCAGATTCAAGTGGTTAATCCCAGTGTTTCTCAAAGTGGAAACAGTGGGGACCAACCAAAATATCATTTGGCGCCTATTTCATTGGGACAGTTTCCTCAAGGTGCAGCAACTGTTCTTACCGTCGCCTATAGTCAACAAGGAACGGATGGTGTTCAAATTCAAGTTCAGCCACAAAATACGGTTGCAACGACGCAAACGTAAGAACCGCGACACTTGAATCTTTTTTATTATTATTTTTATGATCTTCATTTCTTACAAATAATAATATCGTTTATATTTTATTTTTCATAGGTCGGATCAAACAACACAGAGTACTTCGGTTGCTGTAACTACCACATCGCAACAGACGATTCAGCAAACTGTACAACTTCCTGGAGCACCAGAGGGATTGACCGTGGTTGCACAAATACCACAAGATTTGATCTTAAGAGAAGGAATGGAAGAGTCTAAGGAGGATGTGAAAGAAGGCACAACTCCAGTTGCTCTTATTAAAAGAGGAAGTGTGAAAAATCAAGGAAATCAAAGTAATGAAGAGTTCATTACTTCAATGCCTGCGGGTTGGCAAAGTTTGGCAACCCCAGGTTCCACGGTTGCTGATTATCTTTCAAGGCTTCCCGCCAGTACTTTGCCACTTGGTTTACAACACTTCCTTAAATTTTCAGCAGAAACAATAAAGAGAGAAGCCACCATAGAATCGAGTCCTTTAGGCGCTGACGGTCTAGACGCTTCAGGAAGTATGACATCTGGGGAACAAGCTGTACAGATTACAGTAGCCGGTGGTGAGACTATTATTCCCGACGTTGTTGAGGAACAAGAACCGGGAACAAAACCCAAAAGAAAAAAGAAATACAAGAAAAAACCTCCAAAGCCAAAAAAACCGAAGCCTGGTCAAGTTAGTATTGTTACTGCCTTAGACGGTACCACACTATTCTGCTGCCCTCAATGTAATATGGCTTACCCAGAGAAAGAACTTTTAGAACAACATCTTATCGGTCATAAAATAGAAAGGAGGTTTATTTGCGATATTTGCGGTGCTGGTTTAAAACGTAAAGAGCATTTAGAACGACACAAACTTGGTCATAATCCTGACAGACCATTTATTTGCTCCGTTTGTATGAAAGGTTTCAAACGAAAAGAACATCTTAATCTTCATTTTGTTATACATTCTGGACAAAAGACCGAAGTTTGTACCGAATGTGGAAAGGCGTTCTACAGAAAGGATCATTTAAGAAAACATGCAAGATCACATCTTGCCAAACGTGCTAAAGAAGATCCATTAAATACGACTGATACTTCGCAAAATCAACAACAAGTAGAACAGACACAACAACAAACAGAACAATTACAGCAACAATCTTCTGTACCGGAGCTTCAACAAATTCAAATACAAGTAGGGCAAGGTTCACAAGCTCAGATACATCAAATTTCTGTCAGCGAACAATCTACTGTTGTGTTACCAACCGCAGCTGAAACGGGTGCAATGGCGATGTTACACCATCAACAGCAGCAGCAGCAACAACAACAACAGCAGCAGCAGCAGCAGCAGCAACAGCAGCAGCAACAACAACAGCAACAGCAACCTCAACAACAGCAACCTCAACAACAGCAACAGCATTAGCAGCAGCATACCGCCCCTAGTCAAGCCGGGCGGTACTACAGATTTAATCATCAACAGGCCAGAGGTCGTGTAAGACAAGGCGTACTTGCCGATTGAATTCTATTGAAATCCTTTAATTGATATCATGCAAGAAATTTTGTTGATGATGGTCATTGTTGCCTAGTAGTGATTACATTTAAAAAATATCAGCTTGGACCTTTAACCGCGTTGTGGCTAGGCCGGAATAATTTATATTTACTATCATCTTTTAAAGCGCACCGAGCTGAATAACGAACAAAGTTCGTATATACAGAGTTTCTTTTTTGCGTACACGTTGTAGCGTACGTGTAAAGATACGAATGAATTTATTCGTACGATGTAAAATGTTTTCGTCGCCAATCCAGTTCCATGACGCACGTTAGATATAAATGAAGAAATTTATATATAAATATATGAATATATATATACACACTTATATAAATAGATAAAAAAAATATATTTTTGAAAGCGCGAACTGGATTCGCCGAAGGACACAAGGCAATCGAGTTTGAAGCTGAGATATTATTTCTCTTGAATAAATGAAGTAATGAGAAGAAATAAAAAAATAATAAAAAAATAAAAAAAATAAATAAAAAAAAAATAAAAAAACATTGTAAATACAACAGTCTTTCATCCCTAAACGGAGGATTACTGTGACGTGCAAATATCAAGTGAGTCGTTTTATTTATTTTGCTTATACTACACACGATCCGAGGCATAGTAGTAAAAGAGTGTTTTGATAAATCATTCAATTTCAATTAGTATTATGTAGAGAATATTATTAGAGTTGCAAAGCATAAAGAAAAATGTAGTCATACATTACATCTATAAACTAATGACAAGGATCAGTGTATATTTTTACAATGACAGTGGTGTGCGAACCACCTAATATATTAACGTCATTCGTCACATCATATGAATCGATAGAGAAGGTTATGAGATAATTGCATGTAGACATTATATTCAAGCAGAATATTTTGCAGAAACATACATACATCATTTGCCATTCTTATAAATAATATATGTTATTATCTGACTATTTAAAAGTTGATCGTTGTACATTTTAATTCATTTCTACAGCTTCTCCAATGCATTTATATTATAGAAGTATGTATCGAAAAGACAACATCTACATTCCGCAATTATTTCATAATCCCAGATTTATCATTAATCTTTTTATCATAATTGCTTTGCTTTTGTTAAATGAACCATCTGTACAATTTTTATACGGAGATTCTAGAGTACTTTTCTCTATGTTGATCGTATCTAGAACCAGAACCTCCAGTGCTGTTGTAACTTGTATGGTGAAAGTACGATGAGATGTTGTTGAAAAATAATCATTTAGATTGATCGAACATGAATGACTCGGAAAGTTGTTGAGTAAGAGTGTATGTATAATAAAAAAAAATCTCTTTATTGTAAGTATAACATTACAGGCAGTGGGTATAGCTGTACAAGAAATATAATTATTATTTTATTATTATTATTATTATATCACATAGCTATTATTATCGTAGCCAATATTGATAGTCTATAAGTCATTTTCATTGTTACTTACATAAATATTGGAGGAGAAAGCTGAAATAAAACATACATTTAATACAAAAGAACCAACAAATTGCTCGTGTTAACCATCGTTTGCTAATATCGAACACGAGGTTATTAAATTATCCCGTGGTCAATAAAAAAAAAAAAAAAAAAAAAAAAAAAAAAAAAAAAAAAAAAAAATCGACCTCGTAAAAAGAAATTTTTGTAAAATAGACTAATCGATAAGGAAAACAAGAAAATGTATATATATATATATATATATATATATATATATATGTATTTATATGTATATCCATACATATATATAAATATATACACATATATACACATTGGAAAATTATATAAAATATATATAATCAAGAGCATAGAATCGCAAACGTAATTCAGTCAAGAAAAAAATTACGCTTAATCCTGAAGGTAATTCTCTAGTTAACTAGAGTCGATAATCGAAGATTTCGCGATCTAAAGCGATTTCGCATGGTTTCGCCTTGTCGTATCTCCCAAAGGCTACAATCGAGAGATTCACAGTGCATAAGGAGTGAGGGTGAAGAGAGAGGCGTGAGAAGAGGAAGGAGGGAGAGAGAAAGAGAGTAAGAAAGAGGTAGCGTAATGGCAGGTCGCCGGGAGCGATTCGAAGTTAAAACCCCAACGGATTCGGGTATTTTCGCCGGCGCGGCCGCGAGGAGGGCCGGGAGAGAGAAAAAATAGTTAAGAGGCTGGCACAGTAGAGGGCGGACGGGTGGGGTGGGGGCGCCGAGACTTGAGGGACAGGTGTCAACGGTACGCACACTACATCGTCACTGGCCATCCTTTTTTTGTCCAGCCAAGGATTTTCGTCATTGTGAAAAATCTTATTTTACCCGAGCGATCGCCGAGCACGAGGTGCCAGCTGAGATAAATGGTAAGCGAACGCGGCCGAAGTGCTAGGAGATCCTCGAGAGCGTCGGGGAAACGTCTCGTGCACGGCCATTTTCTGCTGAATTTCGTGCGAATTCGGCCCCCGCGTATCGACTGGGGGCGCGCGCGCGCGCGCCGGGAGGGGGAAAGACGCGTTCCCTCCTCTCTCTCTTTTTCTTTCTCTTTCTCTTTCTCTTTCTCTCTTGTTCTCCCCTAACGCATCCTCTTCGTTCTCTCATCTTTCTCGATAGCTCTCTCGCTTAACCACGCTCGAGTCCTCCTCGCTTACCCTCCTGTCTCTTCACCGCTCTCGCGTTCCTTCAAGTTTCCGCACACACAAACGTGCCAAGCGCGCCCTGCCCATCCCCCTAACGATCATTCTCCCCATCCCTTCTCTCTCTCTCTCTCTCTCTCTCTCTCTTTCTCTGTCTCTCTCTCTTTCTCTGTCTCTCTCTCTCTCCCTTCGACAGGCCACCCCGCCGTCGTCGCCGCGTCGCGACGATCCCGGCCGCTACACAGTAGGCTCTTCGTTTTTTCCCTTCTCCCCACCGTCCGGAGAGTACGTTCTTCCAAGCCGTGCACTTCCCGGTGCGGCGACGATCTTTTCGATCTCAACACACGGCATCTTGTCGCGTTTCCTTAGACATAATTGACCACGACGACGACGGCGGCGACGGTGGTGGCAACGCAACGCGACAACTACGACGACGACGACCACGACGACGACGACGACGACGATAACGACACAACGATAACGATAGAATAAAGATTATTTTTCGCGGTGAAAAAGAGTAAAGTACCACTCTAGGACAGCGTGCTGACTCGCGTTTCTTCGCTTCGGCTCGCGTCCTTCTTGTCTGTCTCGCCGGGAGGAGAATTCCCCGAGAAAAGTGCTCGATCAACGAGAGACGACGAAGAAACATGGGGAAAGGGACGTCGTTGCTGTGAGTAAATATCTCTCGACTAACTCGACGCCGAATCTCATGGTTGAGTCAATCGACGCCGACAGCTCGTGTTGACCGCGCCTGAAAACTTATTCTCGTTCATCTTTTTCGTTATCCGTCGAGTCTCCTTTCCTTCTCCCCCCTCCCCCGCCCTAGCCCCCCTCTCCCGCACCTCCCGCCGTTCTAATCCTTACGTGAATCTATTCATAATTTCATTTACATTTTAGGTATATGATTGACGGTTTGCAATGAATTTCCCGCCGTTCGGAGGCCACTTTCCCGGCACTATACCGAGTATCCATCAGTTCGCGACCGACGGCTCCGGTGGTGCAGGCGCGCGTTACGCTAATCATTTTCCCAACCAGCCTCCGATCGGAGTGCCGGTTATGGGAAAGTACCGTCCTGAGACCAACGGCGTACAAACTCCTCAATCTCAAGTGATGATGAACAACAAGGCTAATTATCCAAACAGCAACGTCCACCATTATCCCAATGTGCCATATTCTCAAGCTCAACCGGTGCAACAGAGACCCTCCAATTCTCCTGGAATGCAAGAGAAACGTTCGTATCATCAGGTAACATCTTTCATTTATCTCTTCGCCCCCTTGTTAGACTCTGAATATCTACAGACGTACTCAGACGGTCTTCAGAGCTCTAATAATCCATCGCCGATCCCAATTTTTAGCAAGCCACCGAGACTATAAATCAACAGGACGTTTGCAATCTCCTACAGGATAAGGACAAAAGCAAGGATAAGAAGGCGGATGAGCAGCAGCGTAACGGGGACACTGCGACCAATGGTGGACAGCAGGACTATACGATGCATCAACATCATCAACAACATGCCCACACCCAAACACCTGCTACGATGCCTGCAACCTGGCAGTCCTTGGCAACGCCTGGCTCTACCGTAGCTGATTATCTTAGTCATTTACCAGCTAGTACTTTGCCGCTTAGCTTACATCATTTTCTCAAGTACTCTGCAGAAAGTATAAAGAAGGAATCCGAAATGGCACAAACAACATCCGTAGCTGTAGCTACCACAACTACGCCTAATATCATGATGTCACCAAATAACAAGAAAAAGAAGAAGAAGAAGCCACCAAAGGAAAAAAAACCACGCCCAAAACCAGGAGAAATTCGATTGACTACAGCTTTAGATGGCTCTACACTTTACTGCTGTCCTGAGTGTCATATGGCATACCCTGAACGAGAATTGCTGGAACAACATCTATTAGGTCATACTATGGAACGAAGATTTGTCTGTGACATTTGTGGAGCAGGTTTAAAAAGGAAAGATCATTTGACACGTCACAAACAAAGTCATAATCCTGAAAGACCTTATGTCTGCACTGTGTGCCTAAAAGCTTTCAAGAGAAAAGAACAATTAACGTTGCACTTTGTAATACATTCTGGCGAGAAACGTCATGTGTGTACAGAGTGTGGTAAAGGCTTTTATAGAAAAGATCATTTGCGAAAGCATACTAGGAGTCATATTGCTAGGAGAGTGAAAGCTGAATTAAGTCAGAATGCTGGTAAGATACTACTTCGACCGACAGATCTCAACAAATTTTATAATGCATTTTAATCTCTGTACATGCAAAGATTGTGTTACTCTAGTTTTGTTCACCTGGTAGAATGATTAATGTTTTATTTTAGGTACTCAACAGAATCAACAGCAGAATAATGTATCCAGTATGCAAACGACGACCGTGTCAGCATCGTCCGTTCTTCCAGGCGGGCATCCAGGTCCTCTCCTATCCTGAGCCCCGCCACCAGGGAACTTCCAAGTTCCCCATCCAAACAATATTCTTCATACTCATACTTCGCATCATACATTACATCATCATCACTTGGCCGCAGTCAATGTGGCGCACCAATCGAACGTTACTCCGCTTGCTACACCCAGCCATTATCAGACGCACGAGCTCGGCTTTCTAGGACATGTAAAAGATTTCTGAGAGCAGGGGAAGACCTCGACTAAGAGGTAACATTATGACGCTACACGATTGTCTCCGCGAACAGAGTTTCAGCGATTTCACGTGGCTCGGACATAGTGAGTTTTCTACATATATTTCATTTAAAAGTGATTCAAACGATGTTCTGCTTCTTGCATCCTTCTTATAAACGACGATGAATTCATTCGTTCATGCGGATGCTATTTAACGTACGAATTCTTGCATCCACAATTATAGTTGGATGCAAAACGATTCGAAGGATGTCCAGAATTTGTTCAACATTTTCTCTTTAGATCTTTATAGCATGAATAAATGTGATATACGAGCAAGGATCGAGAACAGACACGTTCACACTATAGTATGGGTTGAAGTGCATACAAAGTATAATTTCAGTAAGAGAACTAGATTAGGAGCCTGATTTAAGAGTCTTGCCATACTCATGGTATGTATGAAAAACAAAACATATTTTTGTGAAAGCTTGGTATTAATATATGGAAACTAAGCTAGTTAGCGGGGGAGAGAGAAATACAATGAATTATATTTTTTTTCTTCATAACTGTGCTGGATCGAAATGCTGTATTTGCGAGTGTATCTATCAGATTTTTATAATTATCTGATTCGGTTGAATAGTGCAAAACAAGTTATCATATTAAAGAATCTTTTAGAATTGTAAGGGCAATATAGATGCAAAAACATTCGTCCCAATGTCTATTCGATTGTATGTCTTTCAGTTTGAATTAATATCATAAAAATTTGATATTTTCTCAATATTTTATATTTCAACATATTGAGTATACTTTAACAATGCATTATATAGATGATACTTCTTAATATACTAAATTTATTTACTAAATTTATTTTAAATGAAAATTTTTTAATTTTTAAAATATAGGATTTATTAAAAAAGAAAACATATATTAATAATTATTATTATGTATGGCAATATTCTGTGCACGGTAAAAGTTATACTTCTTTTGTTTTCTTTGATTTTGCATACAAAGTTGACAGTATTTTATATTTTACGATAGTTCCAAAATTGTGCTTATATGTATACTTTTATACATAAGTGCGTAAATATTTATATGAATATATATATATATATATATATTTTACGATTCATCAAGATCGTACTAAAATCCTTTGTAAACAAACTCTTATTGAGTTTGTTTCGTTTTTATATGATTTTTACATTGTTTTTATAGATATTTTTCGTTAGATCTGTTTAATCTTCGTTGAGTACTGATTACATTCGTAAGCTCTGTCCTTAAAGGTACAGTATATATTTAGGTTTTTTGTTTTTTCTTTTTATATGTGTATACAGTACATTATGTTCAAATAAGTACAGTTGATAAACTGTTTAATTTATATATTGAGCCTTTTGTAAAGATAACCCTCGTGGACTGTGATCATTTTGGATAGAGATTTCTTGCTCTAGTTATCCAAATGAACTTGCGTTATCAATTATCTATCTAATTTTTTTTTTTAGATTTATTAATTGTGCCATTCTTTTTAAATCCTCCTTGCCGTTTTCTCTTGCCATACCAATAACTGTTCGGTTACGATCGCTCACACTATCGTACATTTATGTTTGTCGTCAAGTATCTTGTACGTGTTTAAACATTAATTCAACGTCAATATGATGGAAGATAGTGTTGAATATGTTTAGGTACTGTATAAATGTAACGTATATGCCTGGTTAGGAATGTGATGCGAATTTTTCAAATGGAAAAAAGATTGGAAAGTTTCAGATATGTAGAATGCCAATTGTAGAATGTATCTTTACACAACAATTTTAGATTTTTCATTTGAAGTAGGCGAAATAAACTTTTAATCGAGGAGAAGACTATGAGAAAGAGGATTTCTAAACCAATGATAATTTTTAACATAATGTTGAAACTAATAATGTCAACGGTTTTTACTATATTCATTATAACCAACTTTTTTGAAGTATTGCATCTGTGTTGTATAATACTTTCATACTTAAAGATCAAATGTCACAGCACAACGATGATTAATTATTAAACTAATGCACTATTTAAAGAACTATCTAATCGATATAGACAATAGCCCAATAGTTTTTGACATAGTCTCTTGAGAAATGTCACTTTTAATTTGATTATACTTTGTTCGATAAATGATATTTTCTTTCCAAAAGTAATAAACAATTGAGAGAAAATCCAAGAGAGTTATAAAATTATCGTATGGTTGATCCTCGTTGTTGACTCTTCCGCATCATGTTTCTAGCGTGATACGTTTTAGCAAGTAACACGAAAATTCAGGTTTCGTCAGACCTCAAGTATAATGATATAATAAGAATATGACATACATAGTATATACTAAAAGTTGTATATATCTATATATTTATATTTATATATATATAGATATATATAGATACATAAATATTATATTATAAAAGTATAAGAGAATGAGCTGTATTAAAATACTCCACCGCCACGTATTTGTAATCGTAAATAACAACAACAACAACAAAAAAGAGAGTACACCTTAGACGGTACATTTAGTAAGTAAGTTTGTATACAAGACAACAAAAATACGACGTAAATTGAGAAAGAAAAAAATTAGTGCGCGTGCGAAAGCGAGAAAAGAGAGAGAGAGAGAGAGAGAGAGAGAGAGAGAGAGAGAGAGAGAGAGAGAGAGAGAGAGAGAGAAAGAAAGAATGAAAGTGAGAGCGAGAAAGGATGAGAGAGAACAAGAGAAAGAAAAGTCGAAGAAGAAAGAGCGAGAGATAGTCTCCTAAAACAGAGCAAGCCAAATATGGAGCTACTGAAGAAAAAACTCGCAATGTCGATATTGTGTGTATGTGTAGTTATATCGAGAATTCAAAGAGAAAGAGAGAGAGAGAGAGAACAAAAAAAATGCCGTGCGTATTATTGATCTAATCATGCGAAGAGAAAATAATTAATAAAATATAGCTTTATGATTTATACAACGGAGTTGAGTGATGAGAAGAAAGTTTTCCAAAAATTGTACATCTTTACAAAAATAATGTAAAATGTGACATCACAAAATGGTCTATTCAAAAGCTATGATTAAGAAAACGGTGTTCTCGTATTCGACGGATTTTTTATACTTTTTAATGAAAAAAGAAAATAATAATAATAATAATAATAATAATAATAATAATAATAATAATAATAATAATAATAATAATAATTAAACAAAGTAAATTATCCGTCTCTTCGAGTAAATAGAAGTTGGTGTTCCTAAGAAAAAAAAAGGAAAGAAAAGAAAAAAAAATGAAAAGAAAGAACGATATTTAAATAGTTCTCACTTTTTCTTTCTCTTCTCTTCTCTCACTCTCTTTCTCTCTCTCTCTTTCTCTCTCTCTCTTTCTCTGTCTTTCTCTCTCTCTCTCTCTCTTGGTTTTTCTCTCTTTTTCTCTCAAAATAAAAGGAAAAACAATTCTCCAGTGCCTTCGCATAGCGCTGGAATTTTTCGTATTTCTTCTAACTTTTTCGATGAGTGAAATAAAAGAAATGGCGTTGTGCGTGACTCTTTTTGGAACACCGCGTATATGTACTTGCTACTTCCTCCATTTTCTTTTTCGCATATAAGGTCTTCGCGCGGTAAAGTTCATATACGCGAAAGAAAGAGAGAGAGAGAAAAAGAAAGAGACAGAAATAACGACAAAAAGTAAGGTTAAATATTTTTGGTAATGAAAACGATACAAATCATCGAAAACGACGACGATGATAATAATGATGATGATGATGATGATAATGATGATAATGATGACGATGATGATAATTATGATAATGATGATGATGATGACGATGATGATGATGATGATGATAATGATCATTGCACCTTGTTATTGACAAATTCGTACAAGTATCGATGAAAGATACGATAGAGAAAAAAAGAAGATATTGACATATTGACATCCATGTTTCTTTGTTTTTTTAATTTTTAATTTTTCTTTTGAACACTTTTGAACACGTTCAACATGTTTCAAAGGGCTTTAATTTTTTTTATTTCAAAACACATTTAGAAATCGTGTACTTAATCATTCGTGCGACTCAAAATGCAAAATAATGTATTTTTACATTGCGCTATTTGAATATATTCTCTACACATACGTACATACATAAATACACACATACATATATATATATATCATATACTTAAATCGATAAGTACGTAATATACTTAATTTGATCGCTTTGAGTTAAATAATTAGACATATTTTTTGTACATTTCGTGCGTTAATTTTTGTCAACATTTTTCTTTTTTTTTTTTTTTTTTTTACGTAGTAACGTTTTTAGCGGGAAATTCAAAGATGAGAAGTAGAGGAAGGGACGTATTAATTTTTACTTGTCAAATCGAGTAATGAAAGTAAACATTGAATAGATTGTCAAATTTTATTGATTAGTTTACTTGAAAAGATCGTCGTAAAAAAGGAAAGAAAATAAACAACATGAATGATTTTATAATGTTCTAACTCGATGATGATTAAGATTTCAAAAAATCGAAAAAAATATAGGTCACGAAAGGAAGAATTTATGTTTAATATACATATGCTTCTTACTCTGGCTCGTTCGGTCGTACATAAACATTAATAATGTAACAGTGTGTCGATTAGAGGTTAGCGTCTTCATATATTTTTTAATGACAGAAGCGTTATCTCTCGTGATCAAATAAAACAAAAAAAAAAAAGAAAAAACAAGAAGGAAAAAAGATAAGGACGTTCGTTTTTCCATTACGTGAGCATCATTCGTAATGCTTCACATGCATAAGTAGTTGTCGTAAATTTAACTTTTTCCCGTATATCTGAATATCCTGGATTTTCCTGGATTTTCCAGGCGAGGCGCATTTTTGCCATTTATTGTTGTTAGAAAGTGAACTCTAAGCAGCTTATTTTATTATTCCGCATTCATACATATTATTATATGCTGTGGATATGTATATGTAAAATAATATACTGTTCAAAACAATTAGAGGATCATTACTGTGAACTAGTTTTATCAGCACCGATCAAATGAACGGAAAGAAACACAAAAAAAAAAGCTTCCCGAAAAACTTTGTGAATTGATTTCTTTTTATACTTTATTATAACACATTTACTACTCTTCATTTCTAAAAAAAAAAAATAAATAAACAAACAAAAATTTTTGAAATTATATTTGCGGCGTGGAACGTGGATAAAGATTACAATATGTAATCCTCTAATTGTTCTGAACACTTTATAAAAGATGAGAACCGCAGGCCCTTAATCCGTAGGATTAGAGGGTTTCCAGGCAATAATTCATTATTAAATATACATATGTCACCCATTGTACGAACGAAAATAATTTTCGACCAATGAGGGGACATATCCATGCCTATAACTATTATTACGGGAAAGAGTTAAAAATAATATTTTCGATTATCGAAACAGATTTTTGTGTAATAGCCGTTCTCTCGATGGACAGAGAAGAAAAAAATTCTTACTTACACTAAAAAAAAAAAAAAAAAAGAAAGGAAGAATGATAAATGCACACACTCACATGAACACACATATACACATACACACTTCATGTTGTAAATCAAATAGAATTTCTCCGAAGGATGAGTGTAACGGATGAGAACAATATTTTTCTACGCAACGTCGAAACTCTTAATCGTACTAAATCGATCGATAGAGCCAAAAGTGAACTCGATTGAAAGCCTTCGTATAAGAAACGCGTGATCTTCGAACGGGTCAAACTAAAACGGGTTTGCAACAAAAAAAAAACCGATTGGAATGTGGCCTAAAGAATTATTATTATTATTACATTAATACTATTATTACTATTATTATTATTATTATTATTATTATTATTATTATTGTTATTATTATTATTATTATTATTATTGTTACTATTACATTATTATATACGAAGTTTCAAATTTAGAGTTCTGAATATTGAGAAAAAAATTGCTGCAGTTTCTTTTTTCATGTATATTGCATTTTGCTATATTTGTTTGTAATTAATCACATTCCTATCGATTAAAGTCATTTTTTTTGGGTGTGAATCAAGCCTTGTTCTTTCCTCGTTCGTCAGCGAAGAACAAAATGTTTTAGTTTGCTCGGCTTGTCGTCCACTTGGCGTGCATGCGTGCGTGCGTGTACCACACAACATACATTTTAATGCGTGCGATTCTATAAGCGATTTTTTCGCGAAGGACCCAACGTCGTCGTCGTCAGCGCGCGAACGAGTGAGATACGATCGAAGGGAAATGTGGAAAAGCTACATATATAAAAAAAAAATTCCTCGACATAGTACAAAGCATTTAAAAGCTCAATTATATATATTTTTTTTCCCCGAATAGTCTAGACGAGAGAGTCATTTGAAAATTTTACAAGTTTTTTAGTGGGCCGTTTCGAAAAGCTTACCATGTGACCATGAAGAAGAGGAAACTTATAATTCCCACCACAAAAAGAAAGTTCGTAACACGAAGTATTTTTCAATATATTTCTTAATTTTTTTGTGTTTTCTCTCTCTCTCTCTCTCTCTCTCTTTCAATCTTTCTCTCTCTCTTTTTCTCAATCTCTCCAAGATACGAGAATATAATATCCAATAATTATTCTTGATACTATGAATAAAATGTAAAATTTATATTGAAATCATTTTAGTAGAATTATGTGTACTTCGTGGACACCCGGTAAGCATTAATTCGAGAAAAAGGACACTGTAATCAATCCATCAAAGGACAAAATTTTTTGTTCGGACGTATCCTAATTTTATTCTGTTTTCTGGTTTTTTAATTTTTTTTTTAATATTTTATATTACTTTTTTTTGCCTTCCTTATTCCCTTCAACCCACAAAATCCGCTCCCATAAAGTTGAACATTTGTACCGCAGTCTTCCAGGGTACAAAATATGCAGTTCTTTCATCGTCGTGTATAAATCAAAAGAAATACATGCGAAGATTTCGGAAGGAAAAGAGGAAGAAAGAATGAGAGTGAGAGAGAGAGAGAGAGAGAGAGAGAGAGAGAGAGAGAGAGAGAGAGAGGATGTATATGTGATGAGAGAGTGTGTGAGATAGAAAGGGATAGAAAGAGTGTGAAAAGGAGAAAAGGTTAAAAAGATGAAGAGGAAGGGAAAAAGAAAAAAATTGTGTATAACTAGACGATCCCTCTGATGATCTCAGCGTTTTATTTTTGTATAGAGTGCATAAAACGTGTAACTTTCAGAAACGCATAAGAGGGAAAAAAAACGGATAATTAGAATGAAAAGGGGCAAGACTTATATAATAAGGAAAAAAAAGCGTTTAGAAAGATGTAGGTATATAGCAACATACAGACGAATTTAGGCTGCGAAGAAATATGGAAGTTTAAAGTTTGTGAACATTTTTCAGATATTTCCCAGTGCTGCTTTATGTAATACCCTACATAATACATATACATATATAAAAATTGTAAAAAAATACTGGAAAAAGTGCAAACTTCGTTGATGTTTTATTTTAACCGATCATCCTCGTTTGTTTCCTTCTTAGTCCGTTCGATAAATTATAAAAAATTAATTGCTCATGCGGTTAGATAAATCTGCAAAATTTATATAATAATGATTTATTTAATCATGTTACTACAACCAATAACATAACGTTTTTTTTTTGTTTTTGTTTCTTTTCTCTCATCTTGCCTGGTGTACACAAACATCTTCATTCACTTTTAAATTATAATACAACAAAACCGATGGACAGTCAATTATTCTCCATAAATATAAATAATATACAAGAATGATACAACAAAATATTATTAATAATAATTATAATAATAATAATAATAATAATAATAATAATAATAATAATAATAATAATAATAATAAAAATAATCATAAATTTAATGGTACTAAAAATGACTGTGAAGCAGTGATAACGGTAGCAGAAGTAGTGGCAATAGGGATTGTAACAATAATAATAATCATATTATGATAAAATAACGATATAATAAGGTATACATATGTACGCTCGTTTGTAACGTGCGTATATGTATACGTGAGTCAGTGTATGCTTGTTAATACATGAACAGTGTAAATGTAAAATACCAACTATTAATTAATTACCTAATAATATTACATTCATTCTTGCTCTCTCTCTTTCTCTCTTTCTCTCTTTCTCTCTCTCTCTCTCTCTCTCTCTCTCTCTTTCTCTCTCTTTTTCTATGGTTACCAACATATGCACATAATAACAGACACGCTTGTAGGCAAAATGTCATAAAATATTAATATCGAATTTTACTCAGTTTCTCAAAAGGTTTATAAATGTTCGTCTTATTTATTATAAGAAGGATAGAGGTATAATAACCTTTGTCATAGTAACTCTTAGCTAACAACATTTAGCACATTATTCATTTAAACAGTAACGAAAACATACTTTTAATGATAAATAACAGTCACTGCTTTCCATAATATTTAGCAGAAGCAGAATAATTTTAATTACGTTAATTTGACTTAGACGACTGATTTTGAAATCAGTCTAATTGCAAGCAAATTAATATTTATAATCAAACATATCAACGTTTATTGATTTAGAAAATTTTTAGACAGCACAAACGGTTGAAACTTATTATCAAAAAAATAAAAGTTATTGAAAATGTTTCATTTGCTCATATTGGTATTCGTTAAGAGACAATAACGTAGAACTGTTCGATAAATTGTGATTGCAATCTTTTGCAATATTAATCACAATTTATAATATTTTATTAAAATTCTAATGAAGTTCAACCCTGAAAAATTCGTTTTCCTAAATTACAAAAAAGATTTCTGCTCATAATTCACGTAAAAACATGCGTAGATTTTACAGCTAAGTACGCAAAATGGAAAACGGAGGTGGCCCAGCTTGCCTCATCATCATGGCAAAACTACTCAGTCCTTCTTCATTAGTACTTTGACCATTTTGGTTATTTTGTGAGCTATTTAAAATTTTATTTCTACTACTGTTATGACTCTGTAAATGCTTTTTCAAATGGTCTTTTCTGTAGAAGGCTTTACCACACTCTGTGCAAATTTGATTTTTGCTTCCTGAATGTATAATCATGTGGCGTGCAAGATGCTCGTTACGTTTAAACGCTTTACAGCACATATTGCATTGATAAGGTCTGTCTTTATTATGGCCTTGTTTATGTCGATCAAGATGTTCTTTTCGCTTCAAGCTTGCACCACAGATATCACAGATATGAGGCCGCTGCCGGTGATCCTCCAGATGTTCATGCAATGTTTCACGATCTTCAAATCTATATGCGCATTCTGGACAATGATACACCAGCATACCTTTGATAAAATTGTAAATAACAATAATAACCTTACTGATGAACATAGAGTATTCTATATATCTTAAAAATATTTGTTAATTACATGTTTAATGATTTATGCTAATGCTCACCATTGATGTGCTGTGGTTCTACTTCAAATTCAAGCTTTGGCCGAACTTCTTGACAATTGTGTGAAGAATTATTGCTATTATCCTCGTATTTTGTTACATATGGTAAACCTAATGTACTGGAACAACGTGCTAAATATTCAGAAGTAAGTCTGAAATCTATTTGCAAAGGATCTGTCATTGTAGCCGCATCTACTTTTTGAATTGTTTGTGTGCTTGAAGATTGATGCGAAATTTGAGGACACGTCTCCTTATTTCCACAATTATTTTCATTTCTATTTTCATCCGTTTGTTGCACATGCTGTGGCGGATGTGTAGGATAAGTATATCCTGTCATATTTGGTTGCGGATGGTCGTGTATTTCAGATGGATATTTCACATTATGTGGATTATAAGCCATGTTTCAAAAAATGACACTAATATAACCACCCTCTAACATTTGTGCCTATAAAATTTCATATGATATTAATGAATACAAATTTTTTAAAACAGAGAGAGGCAAAAGATATGACATAAATATTTACCTTCTAATAGTGCTTTTTACAACACTGGCACATTATGGGTTGTTATTTCTTCATATTAAATCAGACTATTATTACCACATTATTAATTAATTTAAACATCTATAGTTCACACAAAAAGCTTCAAAGAACTCATTTAATACAGACATGACGTCTGTTAAAAAACATTAATATTCTTTCATAGGTTTCCGCTTGTACATTGATTTCCTTTTAGGATATAGTATCATTGAATAAGAGTCTGCAAGACAAATTATATTACTTATATTACTTTATTCTATATTTTACTTTTTTATGATCTAATCCTTTCTCAAAGAGAATAATTACAAGATTATTTAAAAAAATTAAAAATATGAGTATATTGCAAACATATATGCATATAAAAAGAAAAATATTGTATTAGTTCGACGGAATGACACAGCACCTATCATGATTCTTTCAACGTAAGTAATATCGTCGTTGAAATTATGTCGAGAGAAGACAATTTTCTTACCTTATAAAAATTTTATATACAAATTAATACACGATTAATGCATCCTACGATCTATAAAAAATATTTCTGATTTTAATTTTTGATGATTGTGAAAGCAAACAATATATTTTTCTGGTAACGTTTCGTTAACGCGTTACCACGGTAAGGAACGAAAAAATCTGATTGACCAGGTCAGGACAGGTGTTACTCTCCGTCCCTTTCTCTCTTTCTCACTCTCTCTCTCTCTCTCTCTCACACACACACTAACCCCCTCCACTTCACCCTTTTTCATATTCTTTCTCTTTCTTCTAATTCCTACCTATGGGAGAACGAAGGGTCGAGAGTTTTCTGTCGACGAATTTTGGAAAATGTATTAACGATACGCTTACACGATGATCGTACGACAATCGTACTATCGAAGATACTTACCATTGAATGGTGTCGTTCATGTAGAAAACAGTATACGCTAGCTGCTATTTGTTTGTATCCAGCCCGGCCATCTTTATGTATCAGCTGCTTTGCGATCTGTTCGTACTCTCTCTCTCTCTTCCTCTCTCTCTCTCTCTCTCTCTCTCACTCACTCGCTCTTTCTCTCCCTCTTTGTCTGCTATTCGCGTTTGTAGATTTACCTGTTTGTCCTTATAAAAAAAATTCGATAAATCTTGTAACATATATTACCGTTTAATATGATCAACTATCATCGTATCAACTATCGATTTATATGTGAAATGTAAATATTTACATTAATTCGTCTAAATTTAGAAACGTTCGTAAAGAAATATATGTAACGCATCGACAGAAAATGAAAGAATTTGATCGTATTCAAAACCGGCGGCGATGGTGGCGATTACAGTGGCGACGTCGGTGGCAAGAATTTGACTGAACAAATATTGTGGTTTTCTCAAGCACCGCTATAGTGGCATAGCGATTTTTGATAAGCTTATTAAAAGAATCTTTAAAGTCCTTCATTTCTAACAATTAAATCGTTATTATGATTAATTATTATTATAAAGTAAGTATTATTATTATTTGTTCATCATGGAAATCTGATGTTAATTTTACGTATAATATTTGATTTATTGATAACAAATTCTTTAAGGCTTCGCCACCTTTCACTCGTAGCATATGTGATTTCAGCGACAGGTACGGACAAAATATGAACTACAAGCGCAGTAGGGAAACATTGTCCCCACTATGCGCCTATTGCATCGGTATATAAGCTTGTAAGGTTATATCCCTATCACGCTTAATTTAACAATTGGGTTAGTTAGTGACAAAAATTTTTGTATGCAGTATAAATAATAATATATCTGATAAAAAGGAAAAATAAATATTTGTCAAATTATACTTTTTTGAAGATAGATTAATTGTACAAATTTTATAGTCTTTGTTTCTAGTTAAATTTATATAGATAGTTAAAATGTATTTAAGTAGCCATTGACTTGATATCATTTGTGATGAAATGTAAAGCATATAAAATATAATATACATTATACCAAAAGTAATATCGAATATCCATGTCTCATCAAATGGAGAGTAATGCATATGAAAATCCACGGGCTAACGGGTAACTTTTTATTTTATCGCTATTATTATTCAAAAATGAAAACAAGATCAAAGCAAAATCTAAGTCTTTAATAATGGAGAAAAGAAATTTATTTTTTTTTTATTAAGACCTTATACATAACTAAATAGTTACTAATAATTATCTACATATATAATCAATAAGAGTAATAAAGAAATTCGAATTTTTTAGTGTATTTCTCTAAGAAATTATTTTAGGATTCTATTATACTTAATCTGTTTATCTATCGAAATATAATCGGTAATGTAAAATATAAGTACTTTAATGTTTATTTAGAATTAGAAAGAAAAGATTTTGAAAACGTACTGAAATATATAGCCATTCACTCGGTAGTACTTGTGTTACGTATCCAGATTATGGATTTCAATAAATTGCAAGCAGTACCAACTCAGGTCTCACCGCATAGAGATTATTGCTTCTAGAGACCTATAGGCTCATGATGATTTTACTGTAAAATTCGAATTCTGGGGTGAAATACACTTAGCGAAAATTTATGTCCCAACGGTAACTGAAAGAAAATCAATCCCCGCTTACGGATAGTCATAATATTGAAAATGTTATAACAGAAATATATAAATGAAATAACAGGATCATCGTAACATTGGAAGCTTCAACCACCTTGAGCACGATTGTTCTTTTTTCAGAGTTTTGAACAATAAAAAGAACTCCACAGTAAGACTATTAATCACGTCCGCGAATATCCACGCCTGTGTACGCTGACGCGCACGCAAGTGTTCCTCTTATTCTATCCATACGGAAAAAAAAGAGACGTTCTTTCTCTGTATATGGCAAGGAAAGATCCCATAATCTCCCGTATAAAAATTTAATCCCACGATGATAAATCGAATCTCTCGACGATATGTCAGACCCTCGCCGATGTATCGAATCTTCTCGTCGACTAATCGCCACACCGCAGATGATCTATCCCTCGATGATCAAGCCTAGAAAAGAAGAAGAGAAAGTCGATATCTCGATGACCTAGCCTGGAAAAAAAAAGAATAGGAAGAAAAGCAAAATTCGAAATGTACGTGAGAACAATGGAATTGAGAACAAGAGATGAATACTTGGAAGATTGCTCCATCCGAGCAAAATTAAAATACCCAAATTGAGCACGATTTTTCTCTATTACAAGAAGAAAAACCCCCCCAAGACCCTTCCCAAGGACCCATACCCGTGGGCCTCATTCATGATTCTTACTCATGGGTCTCAACCGAGAGAAACTAGAATAATTAAACTAATATAATTAGTTTCACTATTATATATTTATATGATTATGCTTTTCGATAAAAAGAGATAACTGTTTACTTATTGCAAAAAATATGAAGGGTCGTATTTATTAAACATGACCGATCGTGTTTTCATTATTTGATCCAAGATTCGAGATTGGAATTAACGTGGCTAACTACGCGAGCTACCTAATTTTTGATTTGCCTATAGTATCTACAAATATCTAAAAGTTGGGTACGCGTGCTATTACTACGAAGTTCTGAAGGAATAGAAAAATAGAAACGAAATATTTATTATTATCGTTATAATAAGAAGAAATCGAAAATATTTCAAAAATGTTTAATATAAAAATTTACTTATTTTAAGATTTCGTTGTTATTGCACGATGAAAATTTTACTCCAATATGATGAAAAACCGATCAACATTACTTCGCGATTGTAAGAACTATTCTTAAAATATTAATTAATTATGAAAGTAAAATACATGAAATTATAAATTGTCTAAGCTTATACATATAGAAGAAGTGAATTTCGATGTTTACTCATTGGAATGGAAAAGGTTCGCGTTTATTTGATATGAGATGAAGATAATGAATGCGAGTTTAAAATTAAATTTTATTGAAATATTCAATTTAATTATTTCATATTTAACGCATGTTACAAGCCGTGTAATTTTTAAAAATCTTTAAGCGAATCTTTTCTTGTTTAAATATTAATTTATTGTACATTATAGATTGTTTAAATAATTATAAAATTACTGAAAGTGTAAATTATTAAAGTTGCTCCTACAGGGGTAATCTACTTTGTATTATTGCTATTAAAAAAAATAACGTTTCTCATATAATAACAATCTCAATGATAGTGTGAAAATGAACTCATATTTTGATTTTTACAAAAATAATATATAATATATATATGCAAAAAAGTAAATTAGTTGACTATGTTTACATTGATAAAATAAAAAACACAGCTGATAAGAATCTAATCAATCTCGAACTCACAATTCCCAAATTATGAATCTAGATGCTTGCTATTCTATTAAATGTTCCTTATATCTATACATTTAGTATATAAAATACAAAGAGTACTATACATTTTTCTAAAATTTAACGATATTTCAGAAAATAAAACTTATTGACATAAACGGTTGAACATATGTTTGCTTATTTTTTCTATGGAATCATTTGTCCAAAGACCATTAAAAATACGTGAGTGAGTTGTCGTTACTTTTTCGTGTGAGTATCGCGATATGCATTTCTTTACGTTTCGAATGGGTCAAAAAATCAGGAATTAATAGTCTTAAGAATATTACGCAATCATATTAATATAGTAAATATATGCATCGAACAATTATTGCTTACTGTAATTGAAATATTAATCATATTGATTGTTATATAAAAATTAATTTATTTAAATAATATTTATTTAAAAATTATTAATTACTAGTGCAGTACGATATGCATTCATTTTGAAATACTTCCGAATTCAATTTTTGTACATATATAAATGAAATTTTTACAATTAGCAATGTACTTACTAAAATTATCAACTTGTTTTTGTCATTACTTCACAGCTGAAAATTATTTGTTTGTTCAGGAGTTGAAGTATAAAAATAGAATGAAATAATTATAAAAAAGAAATTTGCATTTCAAATGTTTTGAATGTTAAAAGTTGTTGTATTTATCGGGCTAAATCGAACATTAGCATTGCCAGTATTTCTAATGAATTGTCGGTAATACAGAATATGACATGAAAATGGTAACATGCAGGTTTGAAATTTAGTTCGTTTTCCTATTAATCGATGGCACTAAAATAACACCTTTTTTTTTATAGTTGATAAGTTGATTACCATAATTCTCATTATTATAATGCGCTTTTTGTTAAATTCTAAAAACAATTGCAACATTCAAATTGGAAGATGGCAATACGTAAATATTTCTCAACCTAATAATAGATGATAAATCACATTTCTATTTATTCTTTTTAATTATATTTTATCAAGGCTCTCTTTCGAAACTATAAAAAAGGTATATCTTAACTTGTTAACTGTTTGCCAAGTGTTAATAACGCAATGTTTCTAAAAATGAATTCTGCAAAAACATATCTCTTATAGACAAGACAAGAATGACTCATTGTCGTTAATCGTAAATTGTTTTTGATGATATTCTCATGATTCATTCATTCTTCCGTTTAATATTCGTCGATTTCTTGATATCGAATGAAAAATATAACAGGGGTCTACTATTGCTACCATAATAACTACAATATTGTGTGAGTCATATCGAGTATCGAGAACCCTCTCGGTCATTCAGTTACCGGCCGGAAGCTGTGCGTAAATGTGACAGACGTAAGGCGGCGTTGTTAGGACATTGCCTACGCCATTGTTAATCCAGGTTCATCGGTGAGAAATAACATATGACTTTATAAATTATTTGCCAAATTAAAACGTTAAAGAAATAATTAACATATTCGAATAAGTAACATATCTTTATTTTTGATAAAGACAAAATGTAAGACAAATTTGTGATTTTGTAATATGATAAAAAGAGATTATTTTTATCTTTATCAAGTTATTATTACAAAGAGAGTTTTACGAAATGACGAAAGTTCATGAATATCTTTCAATTCTTTTTTCAATTTTTTTTTCTTTTTAAATAACTATGTCACCCATAGGTTCAACGAGGAAGGCAACGTTAGCTCGAAATTACTCGTGGGAGCGTATTAACAGGTTCGTTAACGATCGAACGTCAAACATGTCTCTCCGATCTATTTTACAGGCGTCGTTATCATGTGACTAAACGCCGGTTCACAATATTACATTCATACAACGATAAGGAACGACATGATACAATGGGGCAGGTAAAATAGAGAGAGAGAGGGGGGGCAGAGAGCATTTTAGTATTGGAGACGTTCCAAAGTACTACTTTCGCATATGGAATTGAGGTTGTGTTCGTTCGCTTATATTCGCCTTTTAAACCGAGCCTCGCGTGACAGTAAAAGCCTAATCGAAAGCCACTCTTCGCAGCTCAGTTTGGAGGCTCGTGTGGAACCCTGACATGCATTCGAATATGGCGAGATACTTAAACGTAGTCTATATTTGGATTAATACGATCGCGCGATCGTTCGGTTGACCTTCCAAGATTTGTATAAAAAAAAATTTTTAAATGAAAATTTCGTTTCGAAAACAAAATTTTATACGAATGTATCAATTCCTTCTTTACAATTACGATCACTTCCTATACCTTTTCTGAATGAATCTTTGTCCTTTTATCGTAAATCGATTTATAGACATCTAAGACATCGTCTTTGATCGGTATTCATTCTCAGTTAATTGTATTATATCGAAAACGACTATTATTACGCCTAAGATCGAGATAAAGTGAGGGACATAAAGTGGGGATAGCGATAAGCGTTTGCAGCAAAAAAAAGGGAGGGGGAGCCTCGAGGCGATGCACAAAGTGACCATATTTGGTGTTGTTAGATTACGTTCAATACGTGGGCGTGAACGCACCCTTGTTACTCGTAACTGAATCGCTCCAGTTACGTCGTGGTACGCACATTCATGAGACTAATTAATTTTGTTGGAAGAAGTGCGTTAGATGAATAAGAATAAAAGGAAAAGATAGAAGAAGAGAAGAAGAGAAAAAGAGAAGGGGGAAAGGAAGAGAGAAAGGTAGGAAGAATACATCGACGTCTGGAAATCGACCTTTATCGCGCAGAGGATACCAACATCCGCAGGATAACGACTCTGGTGTCCCACCACAGGAAGGGGAAGCGTCTCCTTGCGGATACCAACTCTGCCTTATCCCGACTCCACAATTCAGAAGCTTTTATCGATTTCTGATAAAAAAAATACGGCATTTCCTTAGGATTTCCATGAAATCTTTTTACCCATCTTTTATCAGCTTTTATTTCTTCTGTTTATCATCATGTGATTCTTGTGATTCCTTTTCAAAATATATACATACGTATATCAAAATATTTATCATCAATAATACGTATTCGAAAAGTACAAGCTCTCACGGCGGGAATTTCAAACGTCTTATACGGAATAACATTTAAATTCTTTCCTTTTTTTGAGGAGGGGTGAATGTCGGAAAATGGAGGACATCCTCGCATATATTATTACTGCTACTCGTCGTCAAATATGTCCATGCATATATATATATATATATATATATATATATATATATATAGTCATTATTATTATATCTGAAAAGTAGTTTCTGAGATTTCTCATACGTCACTAGGTCAGAATATACTTTCTATCAACGAACGATGAACCGTTGTCATAGATACAGTCGATGGCAATTTCCGTATTGCATATATATATTGCATATATATATATATATATATATATATATATATATAATATTTATAAGATATGCTTACATAAACTGCAATAATATATAAATAATAATTTGTTTTATGAGGACTTCGATAATCTCAAAATTTCGTTTTGGAAGATGATTATTTCATTAAAATAGACTGTACCGTGAGATCTCAAACTTAGAATGATTCCACACGACAAACGTTACTTGATTTCCACCTTCCATTCTATCTTAATAAAATTTTAATTAATGAATCGAGAGGAGAAAGAAACGCATAACGTCTGCAGATGCGCGCACGCACCGCATGCGACGCGCACTTCGATCGAGTCTCCGCGATGACCTTGATTTCTGAAGCCGTGAAAAGATCCCGTCGTCGTTGAGTCAATTAAACCAAGCCACGAAGTCATTGACTTTGCCGTTTCACGGCCAATTTCTCATCGACGTTCTATAATACGGTATATGCACATATATATATATGTACGTTGTCCCGAAAAATCTTTTAATGATCTCACAGCTTCCTTTACATATATCTTTACGAATGTTAAATTTGATTTACACGACATACTGACTCACTTTTACTTTACGTGCTTGGTATATTTGCGCCACGAAAAGAAAACGATTTCTAACGATCTAGAAATGTCTTCGAAGACAAAAATGAAAAAATAAAAAACAGAGAAAGAAAGAGAGAGAGAGAGAAATTTCAAATAAAACTGAAGAATTCTTATCCAATCAGAATCGTTTTGAAAGAAAGAAAAAATTTAAGAAAGAAACACTTATGATTGATCAATTGTTAAGATCAAAAATATGAATTGCGAATTCGGAAACTCTCGAAGTACCGTCGTCCAATTACAGAGATGGAAGTATTCCAAGTATTAAGTTTATTTGAGAGAGAGTTATGGAAGAGGATCGTATGGCTGAACGAAGAATGTTTAATTCTATTTCATTGATTTCTAAAGAATATATTTCGTCCCTGCGGGTCTCATCCGTTGCGTTTAGTATTATAAATAAGCATTCAGTATCCCTAACTAAATTGGACTAACAATGTGTCGTTGTTGAGTTAGGTCGAATCACGTGACCTCTGGCGTCGCACACGCGTGTGTCCACGCGTACGTTGAACGAACGGGGTTGGACGCGTTTATGAAAAGATAGAGCTAAAAGAAGATGGTATTAGGATAAAGATAGAGGTAGAAAGAGGAGGTTGCATCCTGGCTGGGTTTTCGTGTCTCGGTGGCTCCAGCGGCGCCACGGGGGTGTCTCTTTCTCTCTCTGCATGGGGTGAGTCATGGTGTTACCACCTCTCCTCGTGCCTGGGCGTGGTGGCCACCACTGCAGACGTCTCTCATCGATTTCTACAGCCGTGAAACACCATGGGCCGAGTCTCTGCTTTTCGGCTGATTCGCGTACGCTCCTATTCGTTTTTCCTCTCTCTCCCTCTTTCCCCATATTACTCTTGGTTCACTTGACAGAAGACTGGAAATGTATCAAAAAAAATGCCAACTCGTCCAGATTTATTTATAAAGTATATATATATATATATATATATATATATATATATATATATATATGTTGTGAATGATATTATAGAGAGTGATAAGAGTTTTTTGTTAATATTACGTTAAATGCATTAAATATTTCAACATTTTAAGATTTGAGACATTTTATATGAAATTTATTGGAGTAATCGAGGAGTCAAAATAAATAATGATATTCGTAGAAGCTATTAAGAGAATCCAATTGTCTACACAGACGTTAACAGATGTTAATGTATGCGATTTAAATGAATTCTATTATTGTATTCTGTCATTATAATTCTAGAGCTGATAAGGGACAATGGATAGAGTTCGTGGGATGACATACGGTTCCACGATAAATCAGGCATCAGGATACATATACCTTGGGAAGGAGAGTAGGTCTTCCCTAGAGTAAATTTTCCAGGCCTACTACTATAATTAGCAGATATATCTCCCTCCTGCAAAGAAGGCATATGCCGGGGTTCAGCACACAATTCTATCTAACCTCTCTGAAACGAACGTTTGAAAGGCAAACATAGTAATGTTAGAGATAGAACGTGGCCAGTATGTAGAGCCGCACGTTCGAGGAAACCTTTTCGGTGGTCGAGGACAGCTGTAGAACTCGGAGGATGTCTAAACGACGGCCATATCGTTTCAAATTCGAACGCTCCCCATCTGCAGTTCGTCGTGAGTCATCGGTTGCCAGCCAAACTCATGTAGGCTCTCTCGTTTTCTCTCTTCCTCATTCGCCCCAAAAGGGAGCTCTCAGTAAGGCTTTCCTCCTATCGAGCGGCGAATCGAATCTCAGAGACTAACTAGATACGTATCAAGTATATTATGTATATCTTAGGAAATTCATTCTGAAGTAGAAAATGTCATGACCTAAGCTCTGATTGGGTTTTAATAATGTACATTTTGTTGGTATTGCCTAATCAAAACTTGGTGCAACTAATTTTGTTTTTATAATTTTTTGTTGCATCATCAATCTATCTTATTAAATATTATGATGAGAGAGTCGATTAAAGTGATGTAACATATATTGAAAGTTGATTAAAGGAGCATAAGAATATTCATTGTATATAAATGAAAAAATAACACTTTATAAAAAAATAACAATCTTTAGACTGACCAAGTACACAAAAATGTCAACATTTTTTATCAGCATCAGTCTTTATTGAAAGTACGAAGAACAGTTCCTAACTCCACCCGCAATCAAAGTTATTTCTAGCGAAGAAATGTAGGAGTTCACAAAGATTCGAGTTATTCGACTAGATAGTATATATAACGGAGCGACAGGTGTCGCGATGAAAGCAGGTTCTTCTGACCGATATCCAGGATCGTATCTTGTCTATAGCGTATGTACTAAAATAAAATATTACCGTCGTCGGCATTTTCATTTTCTTTTTTAAATTATGCGACTATCTGTGAAAACATTCACTCGATAAATTTTTACCATTCAACAACATTTTCTTTTTCATATTGAAAAGATCATATTTTTGTGCATTCAAATATTCCCAATGTAGAACTTATATTTTATATAGAAAAAAGAAAAAAAATTCTCGTACTGTTAATATGACATAATAAATTTTTTTCTCATTCTTATTATCATATTTTTTTATTCGAATAAAAATTATCTATTTAAGAAACGCGTATGAGAAAAAAAATTTTTATTTCAGACACAAATTATCCGAAAATCTAGTTACAGTCCTGTCTTCGCTGCTCCTCGAGATCCGTTTCCAGGCTCCTGCGTTCTAGCCTGGAGCAACGTATACGAAGAGTTCCATTCGAGCACTAAAAAGTGCAACGTGCTCGATAAATCTGTATCTCTCGGTCTTTTGTTAGATAATTTTTTATGTTCACGACGATTTACCGATCAGTAACAATGCAACATTGTCAAAGTTGTTTTTATAGAAGAAAAAGAAACAAATATATCTACATTGAATTCAATTTCATGAGATTTCAACTTGAAAATATGTTTTTAATTACAGCATACATCATATCAAACAATGAGAAGAGAAATCGAGCTCTTATTTCTCTTCTTCATCTTATTCTTCATCTTTTTCTTTACAAAAAGCAACCAATGGAAGGCTTTGAACGCTAACCTCTAAACGAACTTGAACTTGGAAATATGTAGAACGCATGCGGTCGTGCCGTTAGACATGCTTATCCTACGAGACGTTTTACCACATTAATCTGAGGGTCGTATAAAACCGGCATAAAGTTTCAGGTGAGAGAGTCAAATAGTAAATGCATACAAAGGTGTCTTCTTAACAACAGGATTCTTCAGATAGGTTTGTGCCGAATGTACAGGTCAAAATGGTGGTCGAACCTGAACCCCTATCTTCTGCCAGCATACACACATATACACTATACGCACGTACGGACAAAGGAAGACAAAGACATTCTTTTCTTTACTATAAAATTCAATAAGGCTTTAGGATCGTTCTAAGAAAAATATTTCCTTGTCTCTATTAGTACAATTGAATCCTTGATGATTTTCCATAAGAACACCATAATCTTTCAAATATATTTATCGTAGCATATTATATATAATTAAAAATTTCGTATACCGTTATAGTCAAACAATTATAACGCCTGCTTGCATTTCATGTCATTAGATCATTCCAAAGCGCGTGTTGTCATATATCACGGTCGAAACATGCAAATGCTTGCCTCTGCAGGAATTGTCGATTAATATATACATAGTATGATCAGCTTAATCGCGACATTCTACTTTCCAGTCCATTTAAGCAGAATTTACGGATTCGATTGAAATACTGTTGGTAACGTAGTTGGGATGATTTATGTTCCTAACGTTAGATTCTACATTTGAGACAGGGATTCTCAACCTTCTCGAAGTTAAAACAAGATTAATTTCTATAGATGATATTTTTGTACAACGAAATTAATAAGGAATGTTTAAAAATCTTAATCAGCTATTGATCCCGATTAGAACTAGTTTTAATAGATTCTAAGTCTAAGGGCTCTAAACCCAATCGTGACGACACTGTTGCCCTCGGTATTCCCTTCTACACTCCCTCCACTTCCTTACCCGCTCATTCTATCCGACGAGTATAACCTACTCGGTACCACCCATTCATCCGGCAGTTTTTGCCTACCGGTTTAACGAACCTGTACACTTCGTTCCAGTTCCATTCAGCTCGCTCCTTTTTTTGCGCCTCAGCGACAATTCTCGTCTGCTCGCGAGATCATTGCTGATGAATGGAGGAGAATAAGACAAGAGGTGAATTAATCTTATCAAAAAATTTCCTAATTGCCAGGTTCACGATAATTGTTGCAATCAATAGCACAAAGTAGCCGATTTGTTGATCTGAACATTTCTTCATATTTTATAGGTAATATGACAAAAAAAAAATCTAAAGAAATTCTTGAATAAACACAGTATCATGATACATCATTGGATTATACATACCTAAGAAACGTAATCGATCCTCCCTACCTGTCGAAACGGAAATGGCTATTTATAGACAACGAATGCTTCTTGAATTCTTACGAGTTGCGAGAAAAGATGGTTATGAAGTTGAAACGTCCGGATATATCCCCCGAAAGCTTCTTACGTTAAACAGGAAAGACATACATATATACATATGTATATATATGTATATATATGTATATATATATATATATTTTTTCTTTTATTACCTATATGTATATATATATATATATAATATATATATATATAATAAAAGAAATTTGATCGTTTTTATATGTGTACTACTTTCTGTAAATAATAATCAAAATAATTTCATTCTGCAGAATCGTCATGCTCTCTCGAACATAGCGATATAGCGGAGAACAGTTCGATAACCGTTAAGCATGCTAGTCATTTCAAGTTGCAGAATCTCTTTTTCTCTCTCTTTCCCTCTTTTTTCTCTTTTTTACTAAAACTGATAAAACAATCGATAAAAGATATCGATATCATATAAATAGATTAATACTATATATATGTTAAAAATGTAGACAAGCTTCTTATAAGGTAGTCACGTATGTTAAATATTCGTCACAAAGAGAAGATAATGCATTTGGATAAAGTATATCCTGGTCGACAGATATAGTCTTCTCGGTAGTTACAGATAAGACTGAACCGACTCTACTCAACGAAGGAAACTGGTCGCATTTTCGTAAGTAAGACGCACTGTCTTCAAGTATAGTTGGCCTACTTTCGTATGTAACGAGAACGCTGCACTTGGCCCGAGACGTATATTCTCTCTCATGTGCGCTCGCGCGCTCTCGTGAACACATGTAAAAAAATCCATGATACGGCAAGTATATGCTATTCGTGATTATCTCTCAAGTTCGCATGACGTTTAAGGGAAACTTTCACGTTTCTTGCTTAGATATATAACAAATCGCTAATCTAAGTCTTGCATTGGCGTTGGATTAAATGATTGCTATCTTGAATCAAAATAAATTCGAACAAATCATGTTAGGTGAAATAATACCGATCGAATTCATTGACTAATCTTATTTAATTTGATCGTTAAGAAATATGTGCTGCTAACTTTCAGAATTTTTTCTAAAATTTTTAGCAGTAAATTTAAGTTAACCCCGGGGTAAAATGTAATTGTATCTTTTTTTTTAAATTGTTTCAACCATATTTACACCGCAATCCAAATTAACCTCAACATTTTTACGTAACATCTTTCTCACGTAATAGACAGTAGCAAGATAGATTTCCTTAAAGCAAATAAATTACGACGAATTCTGAACGCCGGTCATCGTTCTACCGCAAAATTCAACACTGCTACGAAGAAGCAAAGAGTTAAAAAAGATTATTCTTTTTTCTTTGATCGTATAAGTTTAAATATTACGAAGAAATATTCGCATAAATAACGTCGGAAAAAAACAATAATTTAGCGATAAACGATTGATACGACGATATAATTCATCGAGATTATTATTAATAAATAATTTAATATGATAATTGTAGATATTAATTGATGGCCATCTTACGAAACAATGTTTTCTTCAGAAGGATTATTCATTAACGTCATTACTTTTTAATGCGGTGACACGATCTTTGACTAACATGATTCTAAAATTACCCTTTTTGGTAGTCCTAATGTTCCACGGCCGTGTTCCGAATCCTTGACCTTATGCGAACTTACAGAGAGCTGTGCGAGAAAACGGAGTCAAGAACACGACGAACGTATTGTACATACATACTATAGGTACTTCCATACGTACGTATGATGAGACATGCAACATTTAGCCGGTAATATGCGCGACCGGCACATACGTTTTACTGGTTGTCTACCTGTTCTGGATCAGTGTTCGGTGTTGTCTACAAGGTCAAATCTCGAAGAATTCAGCTCGTCATGACCTCGACGACATGAAGTATCGTGATTATTTCGAGGTCGAATCTTGTAAATTTTTTTTTTCGTCCTTCATAATACCTAGTTTCGTTCGACTTTGTCAATGTTCAAAATTCAATTCTTTCATACGTTTAATAAATTTTATCTTTCTTATTTTTTATCAGCATTATTTAAAATATTAAGAAAAAAATAAAAAAATTATAATTTTAAATTTCGTGTATTTATTTAATTTAATTTTTTTTTTTTATTTTTTTATTAGTGTCGCTTAAAAAAAGAAAAAAAAGAATTTTAGCTTCAATAAGAATATACGTCAGCAGATTTTATCGATAAATTGTTAATTACATGATTGTTACATTACAGGACAATAACATTTGATTTCAAAGACAAGATGCTTATCTTATCGCGAAAACTTATCGGTAAGATAAGAAAGTGAATATCGAAAATGATTTCAAGAAAGTTTTCTCATGATTATGGATCTAATAGTTTTTTTGACTTTCTCTCTTGGAAATATCTATTGTACAGTCATCATTGAAAATCGCGAAATTCGAATTTTTAACCGTCGACTTTTCGTAGAAATTTCCAAGAAGAAGAAATGACGATTTTTCTATGACTCATTACATACCTATACGTGATGAGCTACGTCTTAATGATCTTACAATAATTCAAGTAAACATAATTTAACATTTTATATCTGGTGAAATCAATGAAACTCTTGAAATAATAATAACAACTCATATTAACTTTCTATAAAACCATATCTAACTTTGAAATTACATACTTAAGATTTCTTTCATTTAATCGCCACAAAATTATTACTTATTTCATATTCAAAAAATTTATATATTTTTTATAAATATGAGTTTTACTTCATATAATAAAATTATACTGATCTAAATAACATTCGCATTAATAATATATGTTAATATATATGTATACATTTCTTTATTAATATATTAATTAAATATTAATAAATAAATTATTACTTATACTAGTATAAATAACATTATAACACACGTTGTGTAGATAATATTTTTATAAATAATATTTTTATAGATATTAACAAAAATTGAGTTATAAAAGATTAAATGTCAACAATATGAATTTTAAAAAAATAAATTAAATCTTTAGCTTCGTAAGATTGATGAGAAACTAATAAAAAAAGAAAAAATGAAAAACGTTTGTAAAAAGGAACACGAGTTACTCGACGCAAATGTCATTGCTTTGAATCATCGTTGACTTTGCCTTTGGTTATATTCACAAACATCACGACCGATATACGTATGTATGTACGTACGTATCTACGTACGCGAACCGGCCTTATTATCGTCGTTGCCTTTACCGTCAGCTGACTTGTCACACTACGAGAATGACTACTACAAAAACTCGGATGTGTCGGTGAAAAGATCAAAAAAGAAGACGTCGCTTCTCTTTGCGTTCTATCGAAAGAAATATACATATACACATACGTGTACAGAATACTCATACAAAGAATAACTAAATATAGCGATCGCGTTATTTATCGTCGTCACCTCTTCTGGCCGGATTCTTCGCGTGCTACGCGATCGCCATTGAAGACTGTTGTCTCGATCTACAATCTACATGATCGTACTATGATCTCTCTCTCTCTCTCTCGCTCTCTCTCTCTCTCTCTCTGTCTCTATTTTTCCCCTTACATATACACTTATCTAATGATTTATAATTTATAAGTTTTAAATTATTCATGGAATTTAAAAACGTAAATTGTACGTCATATTTATAATTTTTTTTCTGATTATGACACAATAATAATAATAATAATAATATATAATGTTATAGGTGAGAGTATCAAATAGACTTTAAAAAAACTGATAAACAATTATCGTCATATGTTTGGGATAATTTCGTGATAAGATAAAAAAAATGCACACAGCGGTATTTCAAAGAATTACATACAATTAGTAGAAGAGAATAAAGAAATTGAACATAGTTAGAGTCGGTGTAATATCTGATCACTCTTCCGATACGATTAACAACGAAAAGGAGCATGACCATGCAACTATCCGTTTACCGTAAAAGCCAATTTTCGTTAGAACGGTGAACATGTTGTTAGAGATTGACTGTCCGATCTTTGGCTATTAATTGTTAGAATTTAACGAAGCATTTATGTAGTTCTTTGAAAATAAGAATATTTACATAGTTGGCTGACCATCGTCACCATCTTGTAAAAATTTCAACCAGGACGAGTTTAATTTTAAGACTAATTAACACATTGAATGCAATAATACTAATTAAGAAAGTTATATGGCTTAAAAAAGAAAGGAAAAATAAAAAGAATTTTTATGTTATATTTGCAAAGAAAATCTATCTTCTTAAGATACTATCTGGATCCAACCTTTTTCTCAAAGTTTCACTTCTTCCAATCATCGGAAAGACTTACAATCGCCACTATGTACACAATGGTACATAGCATCTAAAAGAAATAGGAGAACAAGTAACGATTGCTTAGACACAAATTTTCTTGCTAAAAGTCAAAATTCTCCAGAGATGTTAAGTAATCGGTCTGTTTTTAAGATAGGTTTACGACCTCTAAATCTATCTCCCAACAATTTCATCGTCTGGACAATATCCCGACGGATTTTCGTCGTCATCCAACGGGAAAGAGCCTTAAGCGTTCCTCTTCTGGGTGGGTACGTTGAACTTACCGTCGCATTCTGTATTGATTTCGGCCGCGGAGAGGCAGACGTTACCTACGGCACGTATTCGCGAACGGCGGCACGCCCATGTCGAAAAGGATCTCTTTTCTTTTTATATTTTCTTACTTATTTTTGATTTTCCTGAAGAAAACGAAATGAAATTTTTTCATTTTTCATTGTTTCCGTGCCAATACAAAGAAAATGTTATCTATCAATACTTTCATCAAATACATATTAACTATAGACAGAAATGACTGACTCTAATAGAATCGACTTGATCGTTATGCCAACGTTGGCTCGCACGGTATAAAAGGGGGCCTTACGCAAGGCTCCGAAGACCTTGAATAGGTCCTTATTTGGTTGACAAGGTCGAGGCTACGCGGGCCTTTGGGTTTTCAGGTCGAACGCGACAAACTTCTCCGTTCTGTCGTCGGTTTCCTTCGATATTCTACATCAACACATATATAAATATATACCTACATTCATACTTGTTACGATCTACTTGCAAGAGATAGTTACAATAAAAATCACATAGAAATTTCTGCCGAGATACGAAAGATATTTATCTCTCTTCTATGATGTTGCAATCGTCGATGTTCTCTCCTAGAAACTTTCTAGATAAACTGAATATATTTGGACAATCGTTGGACATTTATATTCTTATCGTCTGAGTATCATTTTATTCATTCTGATTGAATCAAGATATGTCCAATATGGAGACAGGCAGAATTAATGAACGAAATGAAGTCTAGTAGTTATTTCTCTCTATCTTCCTCTCTCTCTCTCTATATATATATATATATATATATATATATATATATATATATATATCTACTTCTCTCTCTCTCTGTTTTATTGTCAGACATCACCTTTCTTTCTCTGTCTCTCCTAACCATCCATCGGTCGATATTCAACATCATTGATCGTCGAGGGCTCGAAGCACGAGGTGGCGAGCCCTTCGCGATCTGACGTTTCTGTCGCCACGTGGTTTCTCGTTCACCGACTCGGCTATCTTCGTCGTCGGCGCAGACTGCACGGACGCCGGTGTCGTATCGATTTTCAAGGAGACACTGCACCCGCGAACGCACCGACTCACCAACCTCGTAGGAGGAGTTAAAGAGAGAAAGAGAGAGAGAGAGAGAGAGAGAGAGAGAGAGAGAGAGGGGGGGGAGAGAAAGAGACTTCGTACTTATACACATACGAAGAGAAAACGGATGTATGTACTCCTACCGTATCCAAGCCCTATGTGACGTGGCAATAGTCCAGTGCACCCTTGTCCGCGCCCTTGAATCTATTTTTGGCCGATCTTACGTAGAAGAGATACGCGAAGGGAGACATTTACTTGATCGCCAAATTCCTAACCTATGAGGAAGTGTTTCTTCTAATAAATAATTGAAATTTTTATCAAATATCATATATATAAAATATATATATATATATATATATATATATATATATATATATATATTTATATATATATATATATAATAATAATATATGCCATATACATGTACAATATAATATGATATATATCTAATATATATGTATATTAGATATGTATTCATAATATAAAAGAAATTAATTATATAAAAAAAAACAATAGAAAATTTATATGACTTCAAATGAAGATGAGCTTAACTTAATTCTTATTGAATAATATTCACAATTACATTCCATACAATCCAATCAGAATTTAGTATAGTCTTTACATCAGAATTTTTATCTTATAGAATCAATTTTCCTAAGGTGTACCAACGTGTTATTGCATTCACGTTTTAAATCTTCTTTATCATTAGTCGATGCTGCAGTACTGCTTGTAAGAGACCGTCCATTTCTTTTTCGTGAACATTATATGCACGTCGATATAATTCTGTTAGTCTGAATCGTTTGGCTATATAAGCGAACTTAATTGGATAGGACATCGAACGTCAAAAGATCAACTTCGTTCTTACCTGAGAAAAAGACTAGTTACTTATTTAATTCTTTCTTTTTTTCCAATAAAAATCTTTACGATGTAGTAAACGTTTACATGAAAAGAATGCTTTACTAAGCATTTTCAATTCTACTTATCACTCGCGTATATATAATTTTACTTTGAATATACGTGTATACATATATATTTTCCGAAGTTGAATTTTACATATTTTAATTTTATCAAATAAGAAAGTCTCGTTTTAAATGATGCAAAAAATTTTAACATTTATTAATATTTATTAAAAAATAAAAAAAATTATATTAGAATACATTTTAATACGCTACAACATATTTTATCCATTTTATTTATATTTTGCATGTTAATTTCGTTTAAAAAAATAATCGATAACTTTGGATAGATACATTTTAAACATAATTTGTAATATTTTTTAATATAATTACCATCAAATATATTTTATCATCTATATACTATACTATTATTTCGATTAAACAATAATAAATATATAGCAATATATTTTTTTAATTATTTATCAGTATAGATTACAAGTAAGATATGATTTGATGAATCAAGTCGTTACATGGAAATTCATATTGCGCCATATTTGCCACAATGCTTTATCTAATAATGATTTCATTAAACAACGTCAAAGAATAAATAAAGAAATTAAAAAATAAAAAACAAAATATGACGCAATTCTTACGTATATATGATTATTAAGAACGAAATATTTAAGTGGAGAAAACAATGACGTATACATTAAATTGATTGAAAAACTTGTTTTCTGTTTTGTAAAATGTTTGTAGTAACCTTGCTCAGGAATCATTGTAATCGTTCTTCGTGCCGATAAGGTTAGACTTGAAAGTTAACGACTCACTTCGGTATCATAACTTGCTTAAATTGTTTTTCCTCTTACACACACAAGCCAATAATATATTTAAATTGCAAAATGCGATTAAAATATGTTAACCACATTAGAGACTAATAATCTATATATGTGACTTGTGCATTATGGAATGAGTAAATTCTTCTTCGTTCGACTTCTCTGTCGTGAAGCAATTGCTAACCGTGTGAAAAATTTTTAAGTCAAAGGAAAGCGCAGTCTCACGAAAACTCCTGACTATTTCTCATGACTCACCCTATACCTACTATCGATAGAGTACTCTCTTTTCGTTATACATACGTATATGTGTATGCGTATGTATAAGTGAATGTAAGCGTTATGTGTATAAGATCGTGTGTCGCATGCACTCCGTTACGAGATATATGTATGTGTTATGTTACACACTATATGCAAGCGCACACATTCTCCTTTCTACGCACACATTCTACAAACGGTTAGTCAGACAGGCGGGGAACCCTTACGTACTAGTGTGTACGCATCCAGAAGGCATTATACTCCCCGTATCGTACAGTTTGAAGCGGCATTTGGAGAATCTAGCCGGCAGCCGGTCGAACGACCAATCAGCGAGCCGCTTTCGTTTTATGCCCATATATGGCAAGAGCTGTGAATCCGCAAGGTGGGGGAAGAGCCGGCTGGACGAGTCCATTCCAATCGCATAGAGGGGGGTTCGCCTTAGATGAGAACAATTCCATGTAAAAATGATGATAGGAGTCGCCACGAGTCATATGCAATTAAAGATTAATCAATAGAAAATTTGTCTAATTATATATATACATAAATAATTGAATCGAGCTGAAATATAAAAATAAAAGGCCAACGTGCCTTAGTCGATCACAGTCTGAAGTATATCGCTTTGGTCTCGTGGTATACCGACCACACCTACGGGCGAGTCCACAGAACGCGGTAGGAGCCACGATCTCGCTCACAGTCCTCGCGACTCGCGACCCCTCGAGTCTCATTCGTACTTCGTGCCTGATAGTAGTATCCTTGTGGTGGCCCTACGCCGAACAACGGACGTGTTCTCTCTCGACTAGTTCGTCGACGCTTCTTTGTGTCTTTAACTCTTTTAAAGGTGAGTCAAATCATAATAATGATACCAAACATTAACGCCTTTTCTTATTAGATAGGGAAACGTAATATTCGTAAGATCTGTTAGAAATAAATATACAATTTATAACATGAAATTTGTTTGAGACGTTAGTCGATGAAGCCGGTCGAGAAAACGGGACCGGCCGGCCATGTTGGCAGGGCGTTGCTCTCCTTATCTGTACAATTTCGAATTTTCTCGAAACACTTAATGCCTCTCTTACTTCTTACATTATTCGTTTCAATTGGTTTGTGAAATTTTTTTTTGTTTTCTCTCTCCCCCTCTGTCTTTCTTTCTCTCTCTTTCTCTCTCCCTCTCGCACGCGCGTTTTATATGTCCTATATTTTCTCGCGATTATTCTTCTCACGGATAAGAAGGAAACTGATGGCTTGGCCCGTTGAAGCTGATCCGACAGGTTGCCGGCATCAAGTGGTCGTTCCCCTGACACACGTTCAGCACGTAGTCTACTCTCTTTCCTCGCAGGTGGTCGCGACGAAACGGTGGTTTATTAATAGCACTCGACGCCGTTGTATATATGTATATGTACTTGCACGCTCTCGTGCACGCTTGTGCGAGAAGAACGGCCACTAACCTATCTACGATTATATGCCACTAATCTATCATTTTAATAGCAAGGAAACACGACATGATATTTCTTTCATTTTCTTTTTCTTTTTATCTAGAATTTTAACCTATT